AACACTTATTTGTAACGACACATGCCAGGGTGACAAAACTGCGAGACGCAAGGAGATCTCCTTTAAATTTAATTCTAAAATGACAAATTTACAAAGATATAACATGCACATTCCAATCATATTTTACAATACCAAAGATAATGTAATAATTAAATGTTCGTTAAAATCTACTTTAAAGCTAACTAAATTCACCACATAACACTAAAACTGTTCACGGAACTATAAGACTATAAAATAGTACCTGAAGGGTGGATCTCCTAACGCTCGAACTTTCTAAAACGATTGCTTCACTTGCTTGCTTTAAGGTGCGACTTTACTTCGCCTGTTTGCTCAACTAATAATCTAATCAATTACATATCATGCAGCGATGACGTAGTCTGTAATTGCTAATTAACGCAACTTATATAATAAATAAAATGCCAACTGTCCAAAGCAATTGTTATATTATTGTTGCTGCCCGATTTTGAATGCCAATACAGTCTATGTTATTGAACAAGACACCCTAATTAATTCTATCAAGATTGCATGGCTGTGATCACAGCTGGAATTTTTCAGGTATATATGTGTAAATGGTATTTGAGGTATTTGCTATAAATCGGTTTGAAGAAACTATACTTTATTCTCACAATATTCACTATGCTGTAATATACTGTATATACTTAGCAGTTAGTAGGAAATAACTCTCCTGACGAAGACCCTCAGGTCGAAACGTCGAGAAGTGTTTTGTATATTTTAGGCAGTTGCTATACCACATTTGATGCTAATTGTTTGAAGACGCTGCCACGCTGCTAGCTAGCTCCCTGGTTATATTGGAACGTATATACTGTATATACGTTTCAAAATAACTGAGGAGCAGCGTGACAGGCTCTTCCTCCATCAAATGTGTACACCTTCGTAGGAGTTGTCCATTGTCATTGAACTGTAAGCAACTGGAACGTTTTGAAGCCAAATTTTACCTCTAGACACGCGTGTTTTACCTCCAGAAACGCGTGTACATGTTGCGTGGCATTCTCGCAAAGCCCTTGAAGGAGGAATCATGCAGGGTTTGACGGCGAAGTTATGATTCGTATGGGCAAATAGTTCGACTTTTTGTCGACTTCAGGCAGTTCTTGTACCATATTTGATGCAACCATCTTATACATAAATCCTCCTTCCTAAACAATACCTAATACACGTATATGTAGGATACATGTACATGATACACAACCGTTTGTCGTTACAAACCTTTACTTTCCCTTTTAGAGCTGAAAGCCACGAAGTGCAGGTCTTCAGGTGCTCACTCTAATAATGAGTGCAGTTTAATATTCCACTTAGACACAACAGACAAAGCAATATGGCCGAAAAGCAAAGCCCAGTCCTCGAGTTTGGCTACCCCGACGAACGATTCGAATCCGTTGTAAGCGAGAATCTATACTGTGCTATTTGTTCGTGCGTGTTGAAGAATCCATTGATGTGTAAAAACGAACACTGTTTTTGTCAAGCATGTATCACGATGCATCTTGAAAATTATCAAAATTGTCCTACATGCAAACACGATCTGAGTGTGGATTCCCTGATGAAAGCACCGCGTATTTTGAGAAATCTGCTGTCGGAAAAGCGAATTAAATGTGATTATTACGAGCGCGGTTGTGAAGAAATCGTTGAGCTTGGAAACCTGGCAAGTCATGTCGCTGTGTGTGGCAAAGCACCAGTTGTGTGCTCGAATGAAGAATGTTCAAGAGAGATCAACAGAGAGGATCAAGCACGACACGAGAGCGAGGAATGCAGATTTTGGAAAATTGGATGTCGAAATTTTGAAGAGATGGGCTCTATGATGCAGGAAATTGGGACTAGCTTGGGTGGCCTGTGCGAGCAAGTCACAAACTTGAGCAGCAGTGTCAATGAACAGATCAGTGAAGTAAAAACTGGTTTGACAGCTGTAGAAAACAGATTTGATGTGATGGAAACCAGATTCGAAGTGTGGGGGAAAAAGTTTGAAAAAATCGAAAAACAGCTCTTTTTCCTTGAAAATCAAACATCTAGAGATCAGCGGTATGAAGTCGTGGACGATTTACGTGTAAAAAGTGATCAGGCGACTGCAATAGATCCATCAAACGATATCATTGACGGAGGGAATCCTGTAGAACATGCATATGTTGTGGCAGGTGGATACGGAAAGGACACGCAGGTTTTAAATTCTTGCGAGGTTTTTGATAAAAGCTCAAATTCATGGAGGCCGTTGCCACCAATGGAAAGGTGTCGTGCTAATGCAAGTTCGGTTTGTTACAATGGCCATGTGAACGTTGCTGGCGGTGTCTCGGAGGACAAGCGCGTTCTGAGCAGCGTTGAGCAGTTTAGTCGTTTTTGGTCCAACTTTCCAGTTAATTTGCCCAAATTATTGAAAGGACACCGTACTGTTGGAAGTGGCGATAAAATGTTTGTTGTTGGCGGTTACGACCAAGAGAAAAAGGGTTACTCTAATATGATATACGAAATCCAACTACGCCTCCCTTTTAATACAAAGGTTTTGGCCAGACTTCCTTTTTCAACACCTGTCCGTGGCTGTGGTGTAGTAAGAACGAATGACAAAATTCTGATATTTGGAGGTAGTGCGAGAGATACAAATCCTGCTACGGCGATTGTCACAATGTACGATTTAACTAAGAACGAGTTCAGGGAACTTGCACCATTGCCATACAGTGTGTGTAACATGGCAACAGCCAAATATGAAGAAAACGTGGTTCTTGCTGGTGGTTCTGACAATTATTTACTTGGAGACGTAAAGAATACAGTCATCAGTTATAATATTGAGACACAAAAGAGTGTCATGCTCCCACCAATGAAATGCAATCGCTCTGAATGTTGTGCAGTCGTTGATGGAAACTCTTTGGTGGTGATGGGAGGAGAAAATCGGCGTTTCAAATGCCTGAACTCAGTAGAAGAATTCAACTTTAGGACATCGAAATGGACAGGTCTTCCTTCAATGAAAACAGAAAGGAAGGCTTTCGTTGCGGAGGTTATTTAGAATCAGTTAATCACGACAATCTTTGAAGTCCTATCTGCATGTAATCTTAAATATTGGGGGTTCTCAATGAATTCTGACCACGCCGTCAGACTAAACTTGTTCTCCTTATTTTCGTAACAGAATAGTTATCAAAAGCGACGACAACCTTTTGTCTGTTTTGGCAAGATGACAACTAAATTTACTAAGATATTGTTAAATTTGCACCTGGCTTTTTTTGGAATAAAACAAGATTATAAAAAGATTAAAAATCGTTGTTTCAAACACGTTTAGGCGACTCTATTGATCATTAAAATACTGTTCAGTATTTTGTTTAATATAGTCATAGATGTTAATTTTTCGTGCTGTGTTAACGATTAATATTTAAAATATAATAATCATGGAACCTTATGAAATTATATACTATATCATATGCATGACATGCCAGAAAAAGCGGCAAAGATAGATGGAAACTGCTGAGAGCTATCAATCGTTTTTAATTTTCATCACACGTGACAGTTTAGAGTCTTCGAATTCCTGGAATTAATTCAGCCCTGTAGTTCCAAGTAAACCGGAAGTGGTTAATCCAATTTGCTTTTAATTCGAAAGCGATCCAGAACTGTATGTCGACAAGATATAAGTAGGCATCGATAAGCGTCGTGTAAAACGAACACGTTAATACTCAATTTTCAGCTTGCGCTTAATTGGCTAAAGTCTATAGACGAGAATATTTTGCATTACATAAGGTAAGTGAAAGAATATGGATTTTCAATATTAGAACTGATGCGTGCCCGCCTGCTTAGACACGTACCCGCATGATATAACTTCAACACGAAAACTAAGTGAAATAATTGTCAGTATTAAGGTTAGCTGGATCTTTTTGTGCGTGTGTGAGTATAGCTACTAGAAGCACTTTGGTCGTTTGAGTAAAGTTAGGTTTTGAATGTATCTGTTTTTGTGGGATATAGAGCTGTGGAAAACATTATAAACAGCAATAAAACATAAATAAATTATCATTTGACAACAGCAGCTGATGTGAAAACGTTGGCCATGGCAACTGACTGGCGTATGACAGTTTGACATTCGTAACAATTTCACATTTCGAGACACAAATCGATATTAGTTCCTTGTCTGCAAAACGCTCAAAAGCCGCGGAGGTTCAGTAATTTTTCTCAACAATTCGACACATTGCTATTCACTTCCTGGCGAGGTGTATAATTTGTTGAGTCTAGTTAATTCGTCTAGGCATATTTTAACACCAGGAAGTAAAGGTAACTATTCAACTTTATACTCAGTTTTTTACCGACACTAGCTGTTTTGCCTGCATGCGTTGCTACATATACAGGCTGTTCACACAAAACCATTTGAGAGTCGCGTAACCAACGGTGCAAATCTGCCACGAAGTCACAAACAGTTATAAACATGTTTCACATCGTTTCTTTTATAATTTGTTAATACACGTCTGTGCACTGGCACTGTTTTGGAAACAAAGGACTTGTTTTGTTAGCGGGAAACTTGAAGCAAGCGTGTGGTTTTTTTAAGCGTTTTCTGACGGCAAAATATTAGCGTTTATACTGGTTATACAAGTCGATTTTACTGACAAAGCAACGAAAGGCAGCTGTGAGTACATGGTCGGCATTTTGATATTTTTGCGTTTACTGAAAATTATGACGGTTGTATATAATCGCTTATAAACAAATCTTAACTATAAGTAGCAATTAGCCTATATACCGGCATTATGCTAAGGCATTTGATTCACTTCAACACATGCATCGGTTTGTCAATTTTTTTACAAGATTTCTCATAGTCATGCCTTGTCACATAACCCTTATTGGAGGTTACTCTTGAATATCCGTCTCGCCGCTAGTTTCGCCATTCTACTGAGTACCGAGGTTGCGTTGCAACTTCAGCCAAACATGACCTCGCTGTTTTTGGGCCACAAAGTTTATATGTTATGATGATTATAGATGATCGACTGAAAGCTGCTAGTTTCTTTGTGGCTGTTCGTGTACCAGCTTCGAGAGATGTCTGACGAAGGTATGTAATAGAAAAAGTATGAATAAATTAAAATTCCAATGCCAACATAGTCTCACGAGTGTGTTCGGTACTGCTGTGACTCTCCCAAATAAATAGTAAGAGTGATCGTGTAGAATCGTGTAACATTGTTTTGTAATGGCTCAACCATGTTATGAACATCAGAGATACCTGATACAGTAAATAGGGTAGCCCATGTTGTTCTCGTTTAATGAACTTAAATTGAGTTGACAATTTTTCACAACTCGATCGCATAGGATAAATATATAAATATATATATATATATATATATATATATATATATATATATATATATATATATATATATTATATATATATATATATATATATATATATATATATATATATATATATATATATATATATATATATATATACAGTATTTTGCTTTGAGTGATGGCACGTCTGTTACATACTACTATTGGAAAGGAAAAACTCATATTTTTCCATATGAAATTTATGGTCTCATTTTGTTAACTCGGTATTATGAATTTATCTTGTTTATGATGGATAGAATTACTTTTCTCGCGACAGATCTTTTTGAACAGACAGGGCAGTACGAACCCGTCACAACTCGCATTCGTAATATACTCCGTGAATACAAGGATGGCGTTGGTATTTTCAAAGAATTGATTCAAAATGCAGACGACGCTGGAGCTACAAAAGTCAAATTTTTGGTGGACTGGAGACGAGGAAGAACGAGGAGTCTTTTCTCCCCTGGCATGGCTGAATGCCAAGGACCAGCATTGTGGGCTTACAACGATGCTGTTTTCACTGACGATGATTTTGAAAACATCAACAAGCTTGCAGGAGAAACGAAAGTTGAAGATATTTCAAAGATTGGTAGGTTTGGTCTTGGTTTCAACGCCGTCTATCACCTCACAGACGTCCCAAGTTTCATCAGCCGAGAACACTTGGTGGTATTTGATCCGAACACTCACCATTTACAACATCACATTAGGGACAGATCCCGTCCTGGAATTCGTATCAATCTTGCCAAGCAACCGCAGTCGCTAACACGTTTCCAGGATCAGTTTCAACCATACAATGGCGTCTTTGGTTGCAACACAACGCAAACACGTGAAGCATTCCACTACGACGGAACATTATTCCGATTCCCTTTCCGCACGGCCGCCCAGGCAAGAACTAGTGATATAATCAAAACCTCATATGGTCGAGACAAGATTCAAGCCATTGTTTGTAGCATCTGCGAATGCGCTTCGAATCTGTTGATCTTTTCCCAACATGTAAAAGAGGTAGAAATCTTTGAATTGGATGGATTGAACGAACCAGACGAAATGCGATTGGTGTTGTCTGTAAATAAACCAACTTCGCAACCATTCAAACGACAAGGGGTAAACAACACGGAACCTTTTATAAAGCAGTGCTCGAGATGGTGGAAACAATACCGTGAACCTCAAATGCGTTGCACTGAATTCCCATCCGGTTGTGAGCTTGTTAACATAGAAACGACAAAAGAGCAATCTGAATTAAGTGGATGTGACCGTCGATCCAGCAGTAATCAAATGTGGCTTGTAGTATCAGCCAGTGGGACCAACACTTCGCTTGAAATCGCTCGTTCACCGGAAGGTCGAGCTCGTGGCTTCTTGCCCTGTGGGGGGGCAGCGTTTGTCATTCAGAAGGCATCGGAGGAAGGCTGGAAATCTGGCGTTGATCTAGATAACTTGGGGGAATTGTTTTGTTTCCTTCCGTTGTCTATTCCTACTGGGCTTCCTGTGCATGTTAACGGCTACTTCGCAATCATGTCTAATCGCGTTGAAATTTGGAAACGAACGAGTTTGCGAAGCCAACCAGTCGAGGTGAAGTGGAACGAAGCACTGATGGAGGACGCATTAGCCAGGGCTTATATCATGCTTCTTGAAAACTTGAAAGATTTAATTGGTCATATTCAGGAATACAAATTTCACAGTCTGTGGCCAAGAGGTGACACCGTTGATATGAAATCTTGGGAAAAATTGGTTCAGAAAATTTGCAGTGTCTTGTTGGATCCCACAACCAAGTTATTTTACAGCGATGGAAATTGGATGAGCATCAACGACGCTGTCATACTGAGCGATGATTTTTCCGAAATCTACGACACAACAGTAGAAATATTGAGGTCCCTGGGGATTCACGTTGTAAGTCTTCCTCGTGAAATATATAATACCCTGGCAAAGTTTGATCAACGTGGCATTCTTCAACGACGCACTTTGTCCTTTACAGAGTTTATGAAGCAGCACTTTTTTCCAAAGATCAAAACTATTTTTCCAGTTCAACGAGATAAAATCGTGTGCTTTGGTTTGGATCGAATCTTGAGAGCTAGTGGATCACTTCACTCCAATCTTTCCCAAGGCCAAGAGATCAGTGCTTTCAAACAAAATGCCTGTATTTCAGTTTCAGGATGTGGGAAAATTCTCGCGAAGCCTTCTGCACTTATCCACCCGTTCAGTTCTGCGGCTAAGTTGTTTTCCGAACAAGATAATCGTTTCCCAATTGGAGATGGCCTGTGTACTGCGATCAGATTGCATGTCTTGAAAAAGCTTGGTATGGTGGAAGATCTAGATTGGGCCGGAATCTTTGAAAGAGCTCAGTCGGTCGCTAAAACTAGAGATCTCGAACGGTGTCGAAAGTTAATCGCGTACATGAACAAGCGAATAGATGAACTGCAGCCACCTGGTCAATATCGCACTGCTTATCGCACTGTTAAGTTTCTGCCAGTGCTAAAAAATCTGATCAATCATTATCCTTTACCATGGAAAGGATCGTCAGGTTCCGCATTTTGCTCACCAGACAATGCTTTCTTACGAAAAGATGCAAAGCTCGTCGGATCTTCCTGTCTAATCGTTGATACATCGGACGAAACTGGTTGTGGAAAGATGAATGCAAAAGTGAAAACTCTTTTGGGATTTTCTAGTCGTCGGCCTGAAAATAAGTTGGTCGTTCACCAGCTGGGCGCAGCGCATATGTTTTGGAGCCAGTTATCAGATGAAAGAAAACAAAAAACTGAAGTGAAGTCTGCCATTGAATCCATCTGCCAAGAAATTTACCAATTTTTTAATGATAGAATCGTAGAGAAGGCAAAAGTTGAAATATCCCTGAACAAGCTAAAGAAACAACCTTGGCTGTTTCTTGAAGGCAAATTTGTGCATAGCGAAAAAGTAGCCTATGTGTCCATGGGAAACGGAGCTCCATTTCTTCTGACCCTACCAGACAGCTACAAAAGGAACTATCCGAAACTTTTTTTGTCGATGGGAATCAAACGTCTCTTTAGTGTTAAAGATTACATCGACGCTCTTTACGAACTAGAAAACACGAAGCGTGGAAGTGCTCTCAGTGGTGAAGAATTACAAACTGCAATATTTTTCATCAGTCAAATAGATGTACAAAATCCCGTCGTGAAGAATTACATTGGTGAGATTCCACTTCCGGACACTGATAGCATTCTCCGACGAAGCAAAGATGTCGTGGTCAATCTGAGCTTATGGCTTGAACACCCAGAGAAAACGCTGAAAGTTCACGAGAGGGTGCCACCACACAAGGCACATGATCTTGGTGCCAAATCCTTGAAGAAGGTAATATTGAAGAAGTATTCACGTCACATTGGCTACGGAGAGTCATTCGGGCAACACGAGGAGTTAACTGAACGACTAAAAGGAATTCTGGATGGATACCCGGCTGATGGAATACTGAAGGAACTTGTGCAAAACGCTGACGATGCTCAAGCCTCGGAAATACACTTCATACACGATACTCGGAACCTTGGTTATCAAAAAGTGGTGACAGAAGAAGGAATATCTGCGGAGATACAAGGACCAGCACTTTGCGTGTACAATGACAGACCATTCACAGACAAAGACCTGGAGGGAATTAAGAATCTTGGTATTGGAAGCAAGCGAGATACTCCAGGAATGACAGGAAAATATGGAATTGGTTTCAATTCCGTTTACCATCTTACCGACTGTCCCAGCTTTTTATCCAACGACGACACTCTTGTGTTTCTCGATCCTCATTCCCGATATTTTGATGATGATCGTGGCCAATTATTCAAAGCCATGGATGCAGAATTTCGAGATCTCAACTCGGATACACTCGATGGATATCTTCCTGGCAAATTTAACCTTAAAGGCTCTACTATGTTCCGTTTTCCCTTAAGACAAAAAGGAAGTGAATCCAAGATATCCAATGTTTCCCCAGATATAGAGAAACTTCTGCAGACCTTTCATACGGAAGCACAAAAGTCGTTATTATTTCTTAATAATATTAAGAAGATAACTCTTTCAAGGATTGATTCAAATGCCAGACTGGAAAAGATATTTTGTGTCGAGTCCGTGATATCTCTGGAGGGTGAGGGAAAGCGTCAGCAACTGGCACGAAAAGTTTCCCATCTCAAGAATATTCCTACGACAGAAATTGAATGGCAAGGAATCAATTACATACTAGAAATAAAATTAAATAACCAGAAAGTTGAAAAGTGGTTGATACAAAGGTGCGTTGGGTCGACATTTGCTGCGAAAAAGAGAAATGAAATCCCGGATGGTCGTAGACTTGGTCTTCTACCGCGTGGTGGCGTTGCAGCTCGACTATGGACGCGTTCATCATCTTTCGTAAATGGAACTGCGTTGCGTGGGATAGCCTACTGTTTCCTGCCCCTGCCGCAGAATTACACTGATCTTCCTGTTCACGTCAATGGTCATTTTGCGTTGGATAGCACAAGACGAGGGCTTTGGACCGACACTGATGGAAAAGGAGTGAAGTGTGAATGGAACCACTTTATAAAAAGCTCTGTATTACCACGTGCCTACGCTAATTTGATCATTGAAGCTCGTAATCTGCTCTGTATAGACGAAAATCAATTTTCACTTTACCATAGTCTGTTTCCGAGTTTGAGAGAGAATCCCTGGGAAATTCTTACCACTGAATTGTATCGTTATCTTGGACAGACAAGAGCTAAAGTGCTGCCATTGCTGGTTCCAGCTGAGGTTCCAGGAGACGAGGCAACTACTAGTTCTGGAAGGTCCATCTCTTCCTACAAGTCAAATACGGCAGCTCCTAAGCAATCCCAACGCGTACGCTTTACTCTCGACGATTGGCTCTCTGCTGACCAAGCCTACTTTAGGAATTCTGATCAAAATACTGATTTTTTGTATCTGTTGATACGAATTGGCCTTCCTGTGTTGTTATACACTCCATCTCGGATATACAATGGTTTTTGCTCAGTTGGTGTGACTTCACATGAAGTAAGTCCAAACAGCGTAATTGGTTTTTTAAGAGAATTCGATTCTAGCACATCTCCTTGCAAAATTGGCAATCTCCCAAAATTGTTGCAATTCACTGTGGTCGAGAATATTCCGGAATTGAAGGCCCTAGTAGAATATTGTCACGAGGATGAAAATTTCGGCAAACACTTGGAAGGCTTGCCTTTGTTGTTAACACAAGATGGCTACCTGAGAATCTTTGAGTCACGTCATCCGGTGTTCCGTTCTATATTCGGGGACCTCGTTCCAACGCAGTCGCACTTGTTTATTCATTCTGAAATTGTCCATCAAATCCCATCGGACGCTATCAAATCGGAGGAAGATATTGTTCGCATTTTTACTGAAAAAGATCTCGCACGATTACTGCCGCACGTGTTTTCAGCCAAAGCGTTGAGCGCCATCAATAATCATGCAACGTGGAAATTTCCAAAGGCAGGAATTTTTTCAGAAAGGTGGTTTAAGCGACTTTGGGATTTCCTTCAAAATTATACAAAGCCTGAGGCCGATGAAGAATCTGTTTCCTTAGAATGCTTATCAGAATGGCCAATTATTCCGACAACGTGTGGAAAACTTGTGACGATCAAGGAGGCGAAATCTGTTTTGGACATGACAGTTGTTGGAAATGAGTCGGTGCAACAAGAAAACGTTCGCGCATTCTTGGTAAAACTGAAGTGTCCAGTACTAAACAAGAAAATGACATTTCAAATGAACTCTCTGGGACTATTTCGCGCCGTAACTGATCCTTATGTTGCTCACCCTCACAAAGTCGAAGATGTTTTATTCGTTCTTTGTCACATGTTGAAGACAAACGAGCTCGACATCTCAAAGGTTTACGAAGAAGATATTCGTGTCTTTCTTCGGTTTGTACAAGATGACTACGAAAGGTCCGAAAATTTGGTAAGATGCAAGAAAATGGTAAAGGAGTTGCCTTTTCATAAAGCATTGGATGGAAAGTTTGTGACTTTGCTCGGTCGCTATTCTTCTTATGCTCTTGTTCCGCCTGGCGTTCCAACACAACAGCTGATGAGCTTCAAAACCAAACAGAGTGTCTTTTCCTGAGCTCAGACGCATTACGTACACTCGAGAAACTCTACACTGATCTTGGCGTGAAAGGTGGTCAAAATGTCACACAATTTTACGTGGAGTATGTGTTCAAACATTTCAAGATTTTCACCAAAGAAAGTCAAATGGAACATTTAAAGTACGTAAAGGACATGTTTTCCCGTCTTTTCCGCAAGGTGGGTCACCTGACAAGATCAAATTCCTAAAGAGCATGAAAGAAACGCCTTGTATTCCCGACAAAAATGACCGCCTGCATTTCGCAACCGAGTTCTTCGACCCGAAGAACAACCTTTTCATGGTTATGTTTGCAGGCGATGGTGAGAAATTTCCTCCCCCGCCATTCAACGATTTAGATTGGTTGAATCTACTTGAAAGTATTGGACTGCAGGTTGAAGTTACACCTCAATTATTCATTGAATTTTGTGGAAGTGTTGCCAGGAATGGTGCAGGTTCTCCTGAAGACCAACTAACCCGTCTGCAGTCTCAATGGTTAGTAAAGTGTCTTTTTTCGGAGATGGTTTTGAGAGATGGGGAATTCTTATCACAAGTGTCGCAGATTAAGTTTGTTGCCTCTGGTGAGGTTGAGGATGAACTATCCTCAATACACGAGCAGTACCAGCGTCAACATAACAAGTGTCCACCTTTCATTGAATTGCGCAATGCAGTGCCATGGGATTTTAGATATATATCCTGGACTACTGTTCCTGTTCTCCCAGACTGGGCAGAACGAAACCATATGGCCGAATTGAAAAACCTTGGTATTGCCTGCTCCGGACCTGCTTACACCATAGTCGTCGATCACCTGCAAAACCTAGTCAAATCGTCTTGCCTGGAGTCAGTTGATAAAGATCTTTTGAAAAAAATAACCGAATCAATTTATCGTTTTCTTTTTGGTGCTTTGCAATGCCCCAGCCGCAACCCTGATGACGGATGCAGTGACATTTGTGTGAATATTGGTACTAAACTGAAAGATAGCTCTTGTATATTTCTACCGGAGGATAACACATTCGTGACAGCAGGACAATTGGTAATGAAACCACCAGAAAAATTTCCATTCAAACCATTCTCTTCCTGCACCAACAGAATTTAAAGAGCTGCAGCATTTTTTATACGACTTGGCGCAACCGAAAAATTAACACCGTTTCAAATTGCTTTCTTTTTGCAATCCATACACGAACAGGTCGGAGAAAAACTTCTATCCACTGACCAAGTGAAGAAAATCAGCCATGCAATGCGCATGATCTTTCATTTACTTCACAAACGTATGAGTGCTGATGGAATTGTTGAATTGTATTTACCAAGTCAAAGTCATCATCTTATGAAATCCTGTGACATGGTTTGCAAAGTTTCACCACGTTTTACGGAAGTGATTAAGAACCTTCGATTGCCTATTCTTTTGCGATTTGAAGATTGTGGCCTTACAAAGCCCGCTGATAGTTATATTGATGCATTACCGAAGCATTTAACTCCGATTAAATTTGATGATGTAGTAAGGGAGGAAGTCGCTTCTGAGTGCAAAAGTTCCACATGTTCCAAAGCTCGAAGTGGTGCCATATGCCAATTCCAAGAACAATTTCAAAATCTTTTACGATCCGATGAATTCCAGGAAGGACTGAGACGGTTACTAGTCCAAAATCAACAGAATCCCAAGGAATTTGAAGAAATCTTGAAGAGACTGCAAACGAATGTAACGATGAAGTGTATTGGATTAAAAAAAATCAGAGTCAATGTGATCGAACGTAGTACGAGTAGAGTATTGGATAATTTAGAGAAGAGTTGCTATGCAGTACAAGAAGACGGCGATTGGTCATTGTACATGCAACACGACTTAGAGGACGATGGAGGAAAGGTTTCAACTACTACCTGTGTTAATAAGATTCTAGAATATTGCATTCGAGAGCAAAATGGGCTGACTGCGATGCTCAACTGCTCATCGCCAAGCGAAATATCAACTGCGTTGAATAACCTTGATATTACACAAAGTACTTCTAAAAATGCCGGGGAGTCGGACGATGAAATGTCTTCTGAAACTGAGAGTGAAGATGAAGAACTTGATGGAAAGGGTAGTGGTGTTGGTTTTTGGTGGTGGTGGTGGTGGTGGTGGTTTTGGTGGTGAAGGTGGTGGTTTTGGTGGTGGTGGTGGTTTTGGTGGTGGTGGTGGTTTTGGTGGTGGTTTTGGTGGTGGTGGTGGCAGTGGTGGTGGCGGTGGATATCCAAGGTAAATTAAATATTTTTCTACAAGAACACCGTAAGGCTGAGCAGTGATTACGGGTACAGCTACGCGTCTGGCTAAACTCGTTGTCGTTAGGGTTTTTCTTTAAAATAATCAAGTTGTACTTAAAAAGCCTAACGATAATCAGTTTTGAACGATGTTGTAAGAAAACATCATTGCGGAATCACTGCCAAGTCTTGCTGATGTCATTTCAGGATCTCAATAAGTAATCCATAATTATCCAGTCGCCAGGGTGACGCGCATCAAATGCAAATATCTTTAACTCAAAATTACTAACAAAACTTACAGGAATGGTGAAAATGAGAAAATGTTTCCTAAAAGCAACGAGGAAGCGGAGCGGTGGTTAAAACAATCCAAAAACGATTTAGACGGTGCGCAATGGCTGCTCCAAGCCGGTCAACGCTTCAGTGCCCAAGTTTGTTTCCAGAGTCACCAGGTGGTGGAGAAATGCCTAAAAGCAATGTTATTTAACCGCTGTGGAGTGTCAGGAGAATTACTTGCCTCTCACGATGTCGGAGTGCTAGCGGAAAAGCTTAGAGAAGAGACAGGGCTAATAAACGATACAGTCGTGCAGTCGGTCGGACGATTAGCCGACTATTACTTAAATACTCGTTATCCAAACCGTCAACCGTCTGGGGTCATTCCTTTCCAAGCTTTCAGTGAAAACCAAGCAAAGACAGCCGTTGACACAGCCTCGAGAGTCTATGAATTGGTTGGAAAACATTGGTTAAATAAGTAGTTGATCACGAAAGACAATCTCGAGGCTCGGGCCCTTTTTTTATAATTCATCTTGTATTTCTATAGAAACACGTGACACAAAATGGCGTTGTGCGTGCAGTAATTAACTTTTCTCACGATGCCGCAGTCGTTCCCCTCCGGGGGATCTCGGCGACTGTTTTTTATTTAAGGCAAAATTTATTTTGTCTTGTAAATGACCTTTCATGATGATATATAAAATATAATCACGTTTTAAGAAAGTTGAATGAACCCCCCAAATGCTAGATATTCGTCATCACGAGAAAACCGAATTATGACCTAGATTATGAACATATAAAAACCTGATAATTTGTAACAAATTCTGATTTTACCGCTATTGTGACTGACTTGCCGGGAGGCATTTGTCAAAATGCTGCAGCAAGCCGATTTATTGCTTGTTGCAAGATTGTATAGCTACAGCTCTTAGCGAAATGCCTTTGAAGAAACTTTATGCGCTAACATGAGACGAATATACTCCAAAACTTATATATAATATATATCCGAAAACCTCGAACATGATCAACTATCGTATAACTTTCATGCCTAAATATAGCGGCAAATCCATACGTATATTATCAATAAAATACCGTGTACTTCAGAACTCGTGTGCCGTGTGGGTACTTAAAACCCTCGAAAAGCTCTTGAAAATGCTAATTTTAAGGGCACTCAAAGTTTCTTGAAAGACTCTATATCATAAAAAAGGTTTAAAAATGCTTTGGAAATTAGCAAGTATGTACAAACAAAATTAATTTCGTTAATTCTAATGACACAACAAGATCTTTCGACTTTTTCGTTCCATATATTTTACAAGAATAATCATACTTTTCATGACCTAAAGCATCAAGATTTAGGCGTCTTTAGAAATTTTCTATTCAATCCTTAAAAAGCCCCTTTAAGCGGCGCCCACTGCACGAATTCTGAACTTATTTTTGTCTTTGTAATATGTCTTCAGTTTCTTACCTACTGTTGTTTACAATTATGTTTGCCATTATTGACATGAAGAATGTATCTACACAATTTATATTAAACATTTTAACTAGCATTAAGTATGGCTATGTATAAACTAACGTAGACGGCACAGTAACACAATAAGTGCATGAAAATTTAGAAATTAGTAATTAAGTCTAGAAATGCCACAAAGCTAAATAACATGCATTCCTATATGTGCTACTCGCTAACTCTGAAATAAGCAAGGAAACTGAAAGGTCCAGAAATTGATACCAATATAATTACCAAAAGCTATATACTAGAAGACTAGAATAAGAAATTATATTTATGCATAAATTATAAGAGAGCTACGAGGTCTAGCTGTAACTAGAATTCTCTTAATTCAGTTACGCAGTCATCTCAGAGACTTGACGCATGCGCGTAGTGTTTGGCAGTGGTGTTACTAATCCAACATTGTTATTCCAATAAAACCGGAAGTGGTTAAACCGTCGATGAACACCAAGCAATATATCAACAAAATGTATTTAAATGCATTAACCTGCTTGGAACACTGAATGCATGGAACTGCCACAGAACGCTGTATTCCTATTTGATTTTTAAAACTTGGGCTAAACTAAAGCTTAGACCAGCAAGAATATTAGGTAAGTGAAGAATGTCGTATGAATGTTAAATAAACTAATAGTGATCAGTCATGCATTATTTGTAAGCTTCACGTATACAAGCTTTATAAAACCGTACCTGCAGGCAGCTGCAAGCTTATCAGCAGTGTTATAAAGTAAGTTCAATACGTTTAGAGTGGATGTTAGTGCTAGTTAGATTTAGTTCGATCTCACGAGTCCGTGTGTGATGTTGTATTTTTACAAATTCCATGCAAAGAATAAAGCTATTTTGAAATTCGAGACATGAATTAAAACAAGAAGGGCGAATATATGTGTATGTGTAAATTTTCGAGTTCATTGCAAAGTCCTATATATACGTCGAACATTTTCACATAATATTGCGTAGTATGCGCGCTATTCTGCCCTATACGCAGTCTGCCCTATCTCATGAGACTATATATTAGAAACCTTAAGATCTGAGACGTCAACAACGGCGAAGACGCTATCTAATAATGAGTAGGTTAAATCGAATATTTGGAATTTTAGAAAGCGTCCCACTGTTTGTCTCGGTGCTGTGCGTCTTGTGTGGAACGCCAACATGGATAGCTTTCACAAGTGCCACATCAAATTCGGCTTAGTAAATGTGGTATAATATGTGAATGCAAAGCATATTTAAAAAAACGTTCATGAATAATTCTTGTTATCGTGTTTGTCCGTCCGACCCAATGTGATTGCATGGTTGGCGAGGACTTGTCAGTATCAAATTGAACACGGGCTATTTTAGAGTAAATTATTGCAGTACTGAATGTGAATGTGTGTGAGTGTGCATGAATGTGGTACACATGTGTATCGTATCCGATGTGATTTTTAAGGATGGAAATAAATAGTTAAGTACCCAGGAAAGCCAAATAATATATAATTATATTAATATTATATAACACAGGATGAGAAACACGGGTTACTTCATCCACATCATCGAATCTTATTTACTACAGAACTGTTTCGTATGACAAGCGTTAAGAAAAAAAACTGCAAAAGGAATCGAAATACATGTTCATTATTATCTTAAAACATTCTATAGCTAACAGCCATATTAACAACCCTTTACGATGCCGTTTAAGGGGCAATACTTTATATGTTTATAGGTTATTGGGAGAATGTGTCATCAGTTTGTGCCAATATTCTGATCGCTGTTGCCTATAAAAAACTTTTATTTTGACTGCTCGCATACTAGATGCAAGAGATTGGTAATGGATGTGCAATTTGAAGAAGGTATGTAGAATTAATATGCCAATATTTTCCTGTTAGCTTGCTCTTTTCTGTTTCAAACATTCCTTTTTATGGTTGCTATGAACGGGTCAGAGTCACACGACTGTTCTTAACTGTTGTGTCGGTGACAACTCAAAAAGTAGGAGTAGACATTATAGTCATGCCTATATGTGATATATAGATGAGTTGTTCTACGTTGTTCTTGTTTTCCGAGTTTGGGTCTGTTTATATTACCCTTCTTGCCAGGACAGACAAGTACCGCAGACAACAAGCACCAAGTAGCGTGAACAAAGCTTTCCAATTTGTTACAATTTTGTCTTGATCTAGTATTTTTTTCTTACAAAGTAATCCATATTTTCTAAACTTAGTTTACACATGTTGTCCGGGTAAACAATTCATAAGTAGAAAACCGGCCTTAAGAAAGATTCCTCATATTTGCATGTTCTAAAAGCGATTGTTTAATCATATACTTGCTATTATTTCATCCCGACAGATGGTGCCTGTCCGCTAGTAGAGCTAATATTTTGCTTGTTTTCTCTCATTTTGTTTTAATTCATTGATAATCGTTTCAGGTCACATCTTACCTTTTTTAGCAAGAATGAATTTTGTATGTCGTCGTGTATTCGTACTTTGACCACTAGCAATTAAATATCCAAATCCTATTGTCATCAATTTTTCTGCTTCAAGGTCTAAGTATTGTGAACTATTCAACTAGCGAGGATAGCAGATTACAAGAAAATTTGTAATTTATGAATGGTACGACTTATGTTTTTTCCAACAGATCTTTTCGAACAAACAGGGCAGTATGAACCAATCACAACTCGAATTCGAACTATACTCCGTGAATACAAAGACGGCGTCGGTATTTTCAAAGAATTGATTCAAAATGCAGATGATGCTGGAGCTACTAAAGTCAAGTTTTTGGTGGACTGGAGACAAGGAGGAACGAGAAGTCTTTTCTCCCCTGGCATGGCTGAATGTCAAGGACCAGCATTGTGGGCCTACAACGATGCTTTGTTCACTGACGATGATTTTGAAAATATCAACAAGCTTGCAGGAGAAACGAAAGTCGAGGATATTTCAAAGATTGGTAGGTTTGGTCTTGGTTTCAACGCCGTCTACCACCTCACAGACGTTCCTAGTTTCATCAGCCGAGAACATTTGATCGTCTTTGATCCAAATACTCACCATTTACAACGACACATTCAGAACAGATCTCGTCCAGGAATTCGTATCAACCTTGTTGAGAAATCAGACTCCTTAACACGTTACCACGATCAGTTTCAGCTGTATAATGGTGTCTTTGGTTGCAACACAACGCAAACAGAAGACTTTTACTATAACGGAACATTATTCCGTTTCCCTTTCCGCACGGCCGCCCAAGCAAGAACCAGTGAAATCATCAAAACCCCATATGATCGAGACAAGATTCAAGCTATTGTTCGTAACCTCTGTGAATGCGCCTCAAATCTCTTGATCTTTTGCCAACATATAAAGGAGGTACAAATCTACGAACTAGATGAATCGAGTCAACCTGGCAAAATACAGTTGGTGCTATCCATAAACAAAGATAACAAACAATCTGCTTGGGAGATGGGGCAACTAGCAGTAAACAAAGTGCCGTTCATTGTGGAGTGTTCAAAGTGGTGGGAACAACGCCGTGAGTCTCCAAGTCCCCCCGTTGAATTTCCATCTGATTGCGAGCTTGTGAACATTGAGATTACACAGGAGCAATCAGAATTGAGTGGTTGTGGTCGTCGACACAGCAGTGATCATACGTGGCTTGTAGTGTCAGCCAGTGGGAAAAACGCTTCTCTTAAAATCGCAAGTTCACCAGAAGGTCGGGCACGTGGTTTCTTGCCCTGTGGTGGAGCAGCATTTGTTGTTCAGAGATCTTGCGAGCATGACTCCAACTCCGATCTTTCTGGGGAACTGTTCTGTTTTCTTCCATTGTCTATTCCTACTGGGCTTCCTGTGCATATCAACGGCTATTTTGCCATCATGTCTAATCGCGTTGAAATTTGGAAACGGTCGATTTTGCCAACCCAACCAATCGAGGTGGAATGGAATGAAGCACTTATGAGAGATGCGTTAGCCAGAGCTTACATCATGCTTCTTGAAAACATGAAAGATTGGATCGGTAAGATTAAGGATTACAAATTTCACAAGTCTGTGGCCAAGCAGTGAGACCGTTGATATGAAATCTTGGGAGAAGTTGGTTCAGAAAATTTACCATATATTGTTGGACGCGCAATCCAAGCTTTTTTTCTGCGACGGAATGTGGATGAGTATCAACGATGGCCTAATATTGAGCGATGATTTTACTGGAATCAACGATGAAGCATTGGAGGTATTACGATTAATGAGGAAATCTGTTTTTAATGTTCCCCCTCGTGTTTTACAGACCTTAAAAAAGTTTGATCGATGGCGTATCCTGGAACGACACACTTTGACATTCACCATGTTCATGGAAGCCTTTATCCCCAAAATTAAGACCTTCTCTGCCACCCTACGAGATACCATCGTTTGCTTTGGTTTGGATCGAATCATGAACGATAAAAAATCCTTTCTTTCTTCAGGCACAAAGGAAATTACTCTCTTTAAACAGAATGCCTGTATTTCAGTTTCACAAGAAGGAAAGATCCTCTCGAAACCTTCGGAACTTATCCATCCGTTTGGTCCTGCAGCTGACTTGTTTTCCGTAGAGGATCACCGTTTTCCTGTAGGAGATGAACTTCGTGAAGGTACCAGATTGCATGTTTTGGAAAAACTTGGTATGGTGAAAGACCTGGATTGGGCCAGAATCTACGAAAGAGCTCAATCCGTCGCTAAAACTAGGGATCCCAGACGATGCCGAGAACTAATCGCATACATTAACAAGCGAATAGAACAACTGCCGAAACCAGTTAAATATCGCAGTGTGTTTCATCAGGTTGAGTTTTTGCCAGTGTTGAAAAAACCCGCCGGTCAGTACCTTTTACCTTGGAAAGGATCGTCAGTTTCGGCATTTTCTTCCTCAAGCGATGCTTTCTTACCAAAAGATGCAAAGCTTGTCGGATCTTCCTGTTTAATCATTGATACAACAGACGAAAGTGGTTGTGGAAAGATGAATGCAAAAGTGAAACATTTTTTTGGATTTTCGAGCCGTCTGCCTGAAGACAAGTTTGTAATTCAACAGTTGGACGAAGCGAATAAATTCTGGAGTCAGTTAAATGAAGAGGAAAGACAAAAAGTGGGAAAGAGATCTGCAATTGAATCCATCTGCCTGAGCATTTATAAGTTTTTTAACACCAGAACTCTTAAGGGTGCTGCAAATCTAAGTTTCTTGAGCGAACTACGTAATCGAAAATGGTTGTTTCTCCAGGGCAAGTTTGTAGAAAGCAAGAAAGTGGCTTACGCGTCTGGCGGAAACGGTGCTCCATTTCTATTCACCCTTCCATCCAACTACTCAAAGGAATGTCCAAATCTTTTTGACGCGATGAAAATCAAACGCGCATTTGATGATGGAGATTACATTTTTGCTCTTTCTGAAATGGAAAGCATGAAGCATGGCGGTGCATTGACTATCGATGAGTTACAAACTGCGATTTTTTTTATCACTGAAATAAACGTCAAAAATCCTGCCGTGAAAGATTACATAGGTAAGATTCCACTCCCAGACACTGACAGCATTTTGCGCCCGAGTAAAGATGTTGTAGTAAACCTTAGCTTGTTGCTCGAGGATTCTGGAAATACCCTTAAAGTACACGAAAGGATTCCACCACAAAGAGCACTTGCTCTTGGCGCAAAATCTCTGAAAAATGTTATGTTGAAGAAGTATTCACGTCTATTGGCTACGGAGAGTCATTCGGGCAACACGAAGAGTTAACTGACCGACTAAAAGGAATTCTGGATGGTTATCCTGCAGATGGAATACTGAAGGAGCTTGTGCAAAACGCCGACGATGCTCAAGCCTCGGAGATACACTTCATACACGATACTCGACTTCTGAAATGTCAAAAGGTCGTGGTTGAAGGAGAAATGTCTGCGGAAGTGCAAGGACCAGCACTTTGTGTCTACAATGACAGACCATTTACAGACAAAGACCTGGAGGGAATTAAGAATCTTGGTATTGGAAGCAAGCGAGATACTCCAGGAATGACAAAAATATGGAATTGGTTTCAATTCGGTTTACCATCTTACCGACTGTCCCAGCTTTTTATCCAACGACGACACTCTTGTGTTTCTCGATCCTCATTCCCGATATTTTGATGATGATGATCGTGGCCAAATATTCAAATCCATGGATGCTGAGTTTCGAGATCTCAACTCCGATACACTCAACGGATATCTTCCTGGTAAATTTAATTTAAAAGGCTCTACTATGTTCCGTTTTCCATTAAGAAGAAAAAATAATGAATCTAAGATATCCAACGTGGCCCCTGACATGAAAAAACTTTTGCTGAGCTTTCAAAAGGAAGCTCGTAAGTCATTATTGTTTCTCAATAACATTAAGAAGATAACGTTATCAAAGATTGATCTAAGTGAAAGACTGGAGGAAATATTTTGTGTAGAGTCCGTGATCACTCCGGAGGATGAAATGAAGCGTCAAGAACTGGCACGCCAAGTTGGAGATTTTAAGAACATCCCAACCGCGAAAATAGACTGGGAGGGAGTTAATTACAGCATTGTAATTAATGAAAACAAAAAGAAAGTTGAAAAATGGTTAATACAAAGGTGCGTTGGGTCAGTCGTTTCGACCTGTGCTCCTGAAAATAGCAGAAAGATCCCCGATGGTCGTAAATTTGGTCTTCTTCCACGAGGTGGCGTAGCTGCTCGTCTGTGGATTCATCCCTCGTTCGTCCAGAAACGACCAGATCAAGAATTTCGTGGCATTGTATACTGTTTCTTGCCTCTTCCACAGAATTGTACTGATCTTCCTGTTCACGTCAACGGTCATTTTGCGTTGGATAGCACAAGACGAGGACTTTGGACAGACACTGATGGTAAAGGAGAAAAATGTGAATGGAACAACTTCATGAAAGGCTCTGTATTACCACGTGCCTACGCTGATTTGATCATCGAAGCCCGCGATCATCTGTGCGATGATGACAACCAATTCTCACGTTACCACGAGCTGTTCCCTAGAATTTTGAGGGGTTCGCCTTGGGAAACCCTTACTATTGAATTGTATCGTTATCTTGGACAGACAAGAGCCAATGTGCTGCCATTGCTAGTTCTGGGCGAATCAGGAAACGAAGCGACGATAAATTCTGGTGAATTCCTAACGCGCCACACGTCGATTACCGCCACTTCTAGCTTACACCAACCTGTACGTTTTTCCTGCGCTGAATGGATTTCTGCTGACCAGGCATACTTCAGGCGTTCTAATGCAAGGAAAGATTTTTTGTATCTTTTGATCCGAATTGGCCTGCCTGTGTTGATCCACGCGCCTTATCGAATATGCGAAAGCTTTCGTTCAGTTGATGTTCCTTCGCATGAGGTAAATCCAAACAGCGTGATTAGTTTTTTAAGAGGATTTAATTCGACAGGATCTACTTGCAAGATTGGAAAACTTCCGGAAAAGTTGCGAGCCACTGTCATCGAGAGAGTTGCAGACTTGTTGGCGTTAATAGAATATTGTTGCAGGAATGAGAGTTTCAGCAAACAACTAGAAGGATTACCTTTACTTTTAACACAAGATGGCCACCTACGAATGTTTGAATCACGCCAACCTGTATTTCATTCTACATTTGGCGACCTCTTTCCGACAAAGTCGCACTTGTTTATTCATTCTGAAATTTGCCATGAAATTCCATCAGATTCCACCCTATCGGAAGAAAAGATTGTTCACCATTTAACTGAAAAAGATCTCGCAGAATTACTACCACAGGTGTTCACAGAGAAAACCTTATGTGCTATCAAAAATAATCCACAGTGGAAACTCCCTGCCAAAGGAATTTTATCAGAACAGTGGTTTAGGCGATTTTGGGATTTCCTGCAAAATTACACAAATCCTGAGCCTGGGAAAGATTCTGTCTCGTTAGAATGCCTATCAGAATGGCCAATTATTCCAACAACGTGTGCAAAACTTGTGACAATCAAGGATGCGAAGTCTGTTTTGGACATGACAGTTTTAGGCCACGAGTCCTCCCAACAAGAAAACGTTCGCACATTTTTGAGTAATCTGGAATGTCCAGTACTAGACAAAGACATCACGTTTCAGGAAAGAAATTCCGCGTATGCAAGAAATGCTAGTGCTATAACTGGTACTTATGTCGCTCATCCCCACAATGTCAGGGATGTCCTTGGCGTGCTCCAACACATGTCGACGAAAAAACAGATCGACATTTCAAAAGTATGCGAAGATAGCATTCTCGAATTCCTTCGGTTTGTGCAAGATAACTACAGAAGGTGGGGAGAATGGGAGAAGTGCAAGGAAATAACAAAGGAATTACCGTTTCATAAAGCAATGGACGGACAGTTCATTAGTTTGATCGGTCCCTATTCTTCCTATGCCCTTGTTCCGTCTGGCGTCCCAACGCAACAGTTAAATGAGCTGCAAAATCGAGCTGAATGTCTTTTCTTGAACTCAGACGCATTATTCACCCTGGAGAAACTTTACACCGATCTTGGCGTCAGAGGTGGTCAAAACGTTACCCAGTTTTACGTGAAGTATGTTTTCGAAAACTTCACCATTTTTACGAGGGAAAGTCAAATGAAGCATTTGCAGTACATCAAAGACAGCATTTTCCCGTCACTTCCTCAAGGTGGATCAAATGAAAAAAGCGTGTTTCTAACGAGTTTTAAAAAAACTCCTTGTATTCCTGACGAAAACGGCAAACTGCACGTTGCAGCTGACTTCTTCGACCCATCTAACGAGCTGTTCAAAGTAATGTTTGCAGACGATCTCAAGAAATTTCCTCCGCCACCGTTCGATGATTCAACTTGGTTACAATTATTGCGTGACATTGGATTGCAAGTTGAGGTCACACCCCAGTTGTTTCTCCGATTTTGCGAGACGGTTTCCGAGAAAGGAAAGCGTTTATCCACCATTCAACAAAGCCGCGTACAATCCAAAGAGCTAGTAAAGTGCCTATTTTCGAGCATTGCCTTCGAAGATGAAAAATTTCTCTACGAGGTATCACAAATCAAGTTCGTTGCCGCTGCGAAAGCGGAGGAGAAACTTACCTCAATTCATGAGCAGTATCAGTGTCAACCTAACAACTATACACCGTTTATTGAATTCCGTGATGCAGTGCCGTGGAATCTCAGATTTACATCATGGTCGACTGTTCCTATTCTCCCAGAGTGGGCACATCTAAACGATATAGTCAAACTAAAAAAACTAGGGGTTGCCTGCTCCGGACCGCAATATAACAAAGTAATCGATCATCTGCAAAACATCGTCAGTTCATCTTCTATAGAGTCTGTTGATGGTGATCTGTTGAAAGAAATTACAAAGTTTATTTATCAGTTTTTGTCTAATGCCACGCAATGCGGCGGTGGCAATCCTGATGACAAATGCAGTTATATTTGCGTGGATATTGGTACTCGACTAAAAGATAGCTCATGCATATATCTGCCGGAGGATAAAACGTTTGTAAGAGCAAAACACCTTGTGGTCAAAGCACCTCATAAATTCCCTTTTCAACCATTTCTCTATCCTGTCCCTGGCGATTTTGGAGAATTACAACATTTTCTCAAAAGGCTTGGCGCAACCGAAAGACCAATACCGTTGCAGATTGCATACTTTTTGAAATCCATTCACGAACAGATCGGAGAAGAGATGCTATCGTGTGAAGACGAGAAAAAAGTCAAGTATGCGATGCGTATAATATTTCATTTGCTACACAAAGGCGGAAGTGCCTTAGGAATCGATGAACTGTATTTACCAAGTCAAGGTAAACTACTGGTCAAATCCAGCGAGATGGTTTGCAATGTTTCACCACGTTTTGCCGAGGTGATCAAGAAACTTCGACGTCCAATTCTTGTGCGATTTGAGGAGTGTGGCTTGAAGAAAGCGGCTGATGGTTATATTGATGCTCTACCGGAGAGTTTAACTCCCCTGAAGTTCGACGAGATACTGCGAGAAGAAGTCGCGCCTGACTGCAAACGTTCTATCTGTCCCGAGGCTCATGATGGTTCTGTATGCAAATTTCAAGAACAATTTCAGAATTTGTTGAAATCGGACGAATTCCAAGCGGGGATAAAACGACTTCTAATGCACGATCGAAAGAATCCTCAAGAGTATGAGAAAAAGATTAAGAAATTACGGGCAGACGTTAGGACAAAGTGCGCAGGATTCGAAACTATAAAAATCCATATCATCCATCGTGATTCAAATGAAGTCTTGGACAGCTTGGAGGATATTTGCTATGCAGTACAGGAAAAAGACGCATGGACATTGTATATGCAACACGAATTTAAAGATGACAGAAGATTGCTTTCAGCTGCTTCTTGTGTCAACAAGATTCTAGGAGATTGTATAAAAAGGAGATGGGTATTATAGCAATGCTTAGCTGTTCATTACCATGTGAAATTTCAAGTGAGTTAGATAAACTTGATATTACTTACAGTAGTTCCAAAGGTGCTGATAACTTCGATGACTCGGATGAGGAAATCCTTTCCGATTTGGAGATTGATTGTGAGGATGGAGACGGAAACTATGACTCGAAGCGAGGTAATCGTCGTCGTGGCAAGGGTGGCGGTGGTAGACATTCAGGGTAAGATATTTTTGGTTATGTCGACATAGCCACTGCGATAGTAAGTCTTTAGGGGCTGTTTTTAGGGCTGTTTATAAAAGTTTGTTTCTTAAAGTTTATTGCGAAGTTTCATGCATGTCTACGAAAGCACAGCGTATTAACAGAAATGTAACTTAATTTAAGAAATTTAATGAACTAAATTTAACTAAGATTTAGGGGGGAAGTTTCTTTGGGGTAAAGTGAATTAGATCCATTGAGTGCAAATGCGATAACTTTAATTATGAAATTATATTTTGAAATAAACCTTTATAGGAAAGGTGATGATTATCAGGAAGAAGATGATAATTTTTTTCCTAAGAGCAACGAGGAAGCGACGCGTTGGTTACGACAATCCAAAAATGATCTGGACGGCGCGAAGTGGTTGCTGCAATCAGGTCCACCTTTTAGTGCCCATGCCTGTTTTCATTGTCATCAGGTGGTGGAGAAATGTCTTAAAGCGATGTTATTTAACCGCTGTGGAGTGTCAGGAGGACTACTTGCATCTCACGAGATCGGGAATTTAGCAAACCATCTCAGGGAGAAAACGGGATTGCTAGACGAGATGATCATGGAGTCGGTGAGGCGATTGGCCAACTATTACTTAAATACTCGTTATCCTAATCGTCAACCGCGTAATATCGTTCCTTTTGAAGCTTTTAGTAAAAATCAAGCGGAGGCTGCCCTAGAGGCAGCTTCGAATATCTATGAATTAGTTTCCAAACATTGGTTGAGGAAGTGAAGAACACGAAAGATAATCTCAAGCCCTTTATTCTTTGTTTTATTATATATCTTGCTAAAATGGATTCGTATTGTAGCATAATACAGTGAAACATGCGATTTGATTTGTGAATGCACGTACCAGTACCGGAATACCAGGTTTAATACCTTTCCGGAATTTTTAAAGCATTGTTGTTTCAGCTGTTTTCACTTTAGTATTAACACTTATACATAGGGTGTCTCAAAAAACCCCAAAACTATTGAACTCACCCAAAACAATATAATAGCTGGAGTTTGAATGCCCAAGCAATCTGTTGGGACCCACAAGTGTATAAATGTTTGACATAAGCATTTTTAGTATGCATGGTGACACTAAAATTTGTTTGCATCCACACTTTACACATATATGGATAATAATATTTAATTTTACAACTCAAGCATGTTGTGTTTAGCATAAGTTGCGTAAATTCTCACGGACAAAAATTCGCGATCAATTCATTCAAATCAGTTCAACCTGAATGAGTGATTTCAATAGTTTTGTGTTTTTTTGAGACACCTTGTATAACTTTTCTGAACAAGAACGTGACGCAAGACAGCATGATGACTTGCAGCGAGGATTTCGTCACAATAGTAAAACAAGTCGCGACATTGCACACACTCGGGAAGCAGCAAATGCATGATATACGTATATTTTAGTAAATTAATTTTGTTAGTTTAGTGACAATGACATATCTTTGTGAGTTTTGGCGTTCAAATTATATTTCATGTTTAAGATCATTGTTGCAATAGTGATTCAAAATAGTAGCATGAGTTAAGAAACTGCGGTCGAAAGGCCTGGATCGGTGAGAACGCTAACCTGATAACCTTGAACTGCACTCGGTATCTTAATCTGGAACGAGGCCGTGTCTTGGCTCCTGTGCGAGGCAGACTTCAATCCTTAACTAACTCCGGCTTTGAGGTTTAATCGTTATCCTAATGTCAAATTTCCTGGAGGATAATCTTTTTAAAGTATATCTAAAGTAAAATAAAGTATAATGCCGTGAAAATCATTGATAGATTACGCCATGAATCTTAATAACTGCATGTCAATCAGATCTGGTATGTAAATATTATATTGCAATGCTTTGCGGAAGTGCCGAAGTGGAGACTCGAGACTACGTCTACACTGAGTGACTTCAGACACAGTCTCTTTTGAACTAAATACACGCCTTCTGAATCTCTTGCTTGCTCAAAAGCACATATCTGAAACAAAATTGTGGTATTTAACTGTTAACCTTAAGCATAAACCATATATTGCTGGAATGGTGCTTTCAAGAGTTGTAAAGAAGAAAATTCTCGTGTACTTTTGACGACTGAAGTTTCGTGAACGCCAAATGCCCGTTATGTTTGTTGATATTGATACATGGTAGGTCTGAGTGTGACTATGTTTAAAATACTTGATATTCGTGGCACAAATACGTGCTCGTTTCAAACTATGTGAATTAAAGTCTAATATTGAAGAGGGGTTGTAGTATTTCCACAACGATATACTGAAAGGCCTGTTTACATGAGACCGGTTATCTGAAATCTACCGAAGCGTGAGGTTAATTTGAATTTTTATGAAATCAAACAAGCACATACTATTGCGGGAATGACTACAGGCGGTGTTACACTATAGGCTGCTTTCCACTTACGCGTTTTTTATACGCACGTACACGTACGGAAAATTTTAAATGCTTTTAAATTTTTATTATTTAACATCTAGGTCAACTAATGCATACTAAAATATGCAGAAAACTAAGTTCCTTCGATTTATTCACTTGGTTTTTTCAAAGGTAGCATGTACAAGGATTTAGACTTTTACGTGCGTGTACGTGCGTATGAAAAACGCGTAAGTGGAAAACAGCCTTATGCAACTTTCCTTGCAACTTGCAATGCAATTCTACTCCTGAGGCATCTAAAGTTGACAAATACGAACATTTCTCACGATCTACTAACGTTTTCTAAGCATTTCGAACACTCTTTACTAATTAACATACCTCAAAATTATAATTGCATTGCAAGTTGCAAGGAAAATTGCATAGTGTAACAGCGCCTTACATCACTGGCACGATCACTTTATGTACTCATTTCAATAATATCGGCTAAGCGCGATCATGTAAACAGCTCCTTAGCTTTAATAGGGACGGTCACACTATCAATTTACTGTGAATTTCGCCATTAACTGTGATTTTGCATAAGTACTTTAAATATTTTAACGAATTCGCTGAAAAATATCCAAGGCAACTGAGAGATTAACTATGTAAGTTTCCAACAGACGGTGGGCCTAGTAACTATACAAATAGTTGCCTTTTCTGTAGATCTACCTGCGTCGAACAGCAATTATGTCGTCTTCAACTACAACTTGATATTTGATCACCTAAGACACGACAAGCCGGAAACATGGCCAAACAACATGAAATTGCTCATGAATTTGGCTATCCCGACGAACGATTCCAAACTGTGTTAAGCGACAATTTGCATTGCGCTATTTGTTCGTGCGTGTTGAAGGATCCAGTGATGTGCAAGAACGAACACTGTTTTTGTCGAGCATGTATCACGAAGCATCTTGAAAATCACCAAAATTGCCCTTCTTGTAATCAAGAGCTAACCGTTGAGTCACTCGCAGATGCACCGCGTATTGTGAGAAATCTGCTGTCGGAAAAGCGAATTAAATGTGATCATCACGAGCGCGGTTGTGAAGAAATCGTTGAGCTTGGAAACCTGGCAAGTCATGTCGCTGTGTGTGGCAAAGCTCCAGTTGTGTGCTCGAATGAAGAATGTTCAAGAGAGATCAACAGAGAGGATCAAACACGACACGAGAGCGAGGAATGCAGATTTCGTCAAGTGAAATGTCGAAATTGTAAAGAAATGGGCTCCATGATGCAAGAAATTGGAACTAGTTTGGGTGGTCTGTGCGAGCAATTTGCGAAATTAAATGAGGAAACGAAAACAAGTTTGACAGCGATGGAAAACAAGTTTTCGGAAATGGAGAACAGGTTTGAGAAAAGAGTAAATCAGTTCATTAACCGTGATGGTCCAAAATGTGAGTCTGGACAGCACGAAGGAGCGCCTGATAACATCGAAGGTGGTAGAAGTGATCAAGCTACTGCAGTTGACCCGTTCATTGACTTGAAAGAGGGGAAGAAATACGCGTATATTGTTGCTGGTGGGGAGGGAACACCGGGGAAGCTATTGAATTCTGCTGAGGTTTTTGATAAAACTTCTAATTCTTGGCAAAAGTTGCAACCTATGAAAATCAGCCGTGCTTGTGCAAGTTCGGTGGTCTACAACGATCAAGTCCTTGTTGCAGGTGGGAAGACGGGAGGTAACGCTTGCATAAGTAGCATTGAACAATTTAGCCGGTTTTGGTCTCATTTTCAAGTTAATATGCCTAAGGCATTGAGAGAGCATCGCTGTGTAATGTTTGACGATAGAATGTTCATCATTGGGGGCTTTGATCCAGAGAAAAAGGAGTATTCTGATCTTATCTACGAGGTCCAACTACGTTTTCCTTTCAATACAAAGATTTTGGCCAAATCACCTCCTTCTATACCCGTCCGAGGCTGCGGTGTTGTTCTTGTTGGTGATAAAATTTTGATGTTTGGTGGTTATAACAGAGGTGGTTATGACAATACCAATAACGTGACGATGTATGATATATCTCAGAACGAGTTTAAAGAGCTTGCGCCATTACCTACCTGCATGAAAGACGTGGTGACCGTCAAGTTTGAAGAAAATGTTGTTCTTGCTGGGGGTTTCTCGGGCAGTGATGTTTTCAGTTATAATGTCGAGACACAAAAATGTGTCAATCTGCCATCCATGAGTTGCAAACGTCTTAATTGTTGTGCAGTTGTTGATGGACAATCAGTGGTGCTGATGGGAGGTTGGTGTGGAAAACCTTTAGATTCAGTCGAAGCCTATGACTTTCGGACCTCTGCGTGGAGAAAGCTTCCTTCAATGAACGAAGGAAGGCATAACTTCATTGCAGAAATTATCTAAAGTACCCCAGTATTGTAGTGTTATTGACGAATATAGGCGTCTCACATTAACACTTTTAAAAGGTTTTATTACCAACTAACGATTATATAACCTATTAACATCATTAGTTGCTAGACACTATATATATGTATCATCGTTTTGACGCTATTTACGACGCTATGTAATAACGATACATAATAAAAATTTTGTTGTAATAAAAAGTTTGTGATTCCATTTGCAACTGTATATAGGCTATATACGATTCCCACAACTCATTTACCAGAATATAATTGAATTGTTTTTAAAGATGAGGTAAAGTCCGTTCTGCGCATATATTCCGCGCATCAACACATTCCATCAGTGGGGGAGCAACTTTTGGAATGTTAATGATATGCGATATTAACGGGTTGTATTACAAACGGCAGTTCGGGAGCAAAATTATTTTATTTTATGTCGCAAGGCGAAGAGGCTCGAATTGCGAGTCACGACGATAACTTATCTTATCATAAAGCTGCTAGAAAAAAGCAATATTATGCTGAAAGGAATGCTCCAAGAATTTATTTGTTGAATAAGGCCCGAAATGGCGAGGCTATTTGTTGTCGCTACAGACGCCACCTTCTCGCTTGTCCTACAATTACAAATATATAACGTTTTAAATAACGGCCGGTTTATTTACAAGCTTCGCTTTATATTTTCTTTAAAATATAACAATATTTTCTTCAAAATATGATAAAAAATAAGCATATTCATCACAGATCACAGCCCGTCGAGCGAGAAGAAAATAATAAAATTATAACGACGCATACGTCATGTAAAGATTATATAACCAACGTAAACAAACATTGTTATGCGCAGAATATATGCTCAGAACGGACTTTACATCATCTTTAAATGAGTGCAGAAACAAACATGGTCGTAGCTAGACCGCTATTAAGGGAGAAGTATATTCATATACTCACACAAAAACAAACGCTTTCAAAATAGATCTGGAACGTTTTTTTATAAGGATCCTCAGAACCTTTAAAAGCTGTATCAGTCGCTCTTATTGTCCTACCCACTCTTGAAGCAGGCGAGACATGAAGCGGTTGACAGCTAGGAAACGGGTTTCAGGTAATATTTCTCACCAAGGTATTCTCACCCGTTGCATAATCGCCTACTTACGCAGCTGCCTTATTTCTTCCCTGATAAGCTCTCTTCACAGTTTCACCAATTTTGGACTTCAAGACAGTGGCTAAATATGCCACAAAGCTAAAACTATAAAAGCATTTTTCTTAAGCCCTCAAGTAGGGCGTGGCAGATATAGTTAGAATTCCAAGAACCAGACCTTGTTTTTCCAGGAGAAACGGAAGTGATATTATTATAATCTCGTTTGCTCGAATCGAAAGGGATCTTAAATTGGATTATCAGAGAAGCGCTGTATGAAACTGCCAAAAATCAATGTCTAAGCCTGACTTAAATTGAATTTTTGGAAACTCAATCTTAGCTAGGTCTGGCCTAGCAAGAACTTTAGCTAAATAAAGGAAGCAAGGTTAGTATTGATCCTGTTTTTTGCGGACTGTTACGTCAACGCGTACTATTATCGCTGGGTGGTTTTGAACGTCTATTATTCCTTCTGTCCTTGCGTTAAATCGATAAGACAAATATGAAATGCCTTGTAATGCGCATGTGGTTGCTTTCGATTGACGCATAACAGTATAATTAGCAGTAACGAAAGGAAAAGCTTAATTAAACGCACGGGGCAAATATATTTAGGTTGCTCAGGGGCCGGTTGTATCAAGCCCGTTCGAACGGCGGATAAGTTCAAAATAGAAAGCAAGTCTGCCGTTCTATGCAAGAAGCGAACTAAATGTTTTTAACCTTAATTAATACAAAGATACTGCTTACAAGTACATATTCAGTGCATAGTATTCAAGTTGACTCATTCAAGAGAGTTCTAAGAGTGTATTTAATTTTGACTTACATCCACCGTTTAAGCTAAACGGGCTTGATACAACCGGTCCCATGCAGATGAACGATTGCTCGTGTAGAGCTAATTCTGGCGCAGGGTCTAAGTTCCCCGTAGCAGTCGGGGACTACATACAGTAAATGTTTTTCCCCGGAGCTGAATTTGAATTTCAAAAATATGATCTGGTGTTTGGATAAAAAAGTGATGTTGTGCGTTTGATCACAAGAGCAAATCTAAATACATCTGTTGAGAGCTTCCGTCACCTGATACAGCCTTATTTTGGGCTGGTTTTCATTTAGTCATAACTATCGCGAACATAGGTAAAAATAACTTGTTCATGGATCTGTTAATATAGTCAATTAATGGAGAAATAAATGAATCTAGCGAATTATATAACACGACAACGTCTCATTAAATACAAGATCCTGGCGCTTATTTATACTTGACTAAACAAATAGACGTAAAACTCCTAAAACTTTAATTGTTTTGCTTTCTTTTGCACAATAGTAGAAGCAAAAGTGAAGAAAGTATACTAGTGTACACAAATGAAAAGTGTACACTGTGCGCTATTTTGCAAAGTCATAAATTTATACAATATATATACGTAAATAGTTAATACGTATCAGAGTATATGCGCCATACTGTGACATTCCACTCACCGTGTGCTATGATATCTTATTGTCAGTATTATCCGAATTTATTTCTCATGTATCCTACATATAGTGCCTTCATGGATTATATGCTATCCAAGTGTCAATCATGAACAAATGCAATATGCGATGTAGCAGTACTTGTTCTAAATTGAAACTTGTACTTGATTTATTATGGAAAGCAACGTCGCTGTCTGTGACTGAGTTTGTGTGCATACTGTTTTGACAGTGAAAATTGATATTGATCGATATGTGACTTTATATTTTAACATACAGTTTCCAAAATCTAAGCTTTTAGAATGTTTCTGGCTTTGAAAAGATCCTGAATGAGAATAATGTTGTTCATCCAATCGACCTCTGTTTTAGTTTTAAAGGTTTTGTGAACGTGGCGAGCCATTTAATTATAATACAGGATATGCTTAGAGAAATATGATGAATAATGAAAACGGCTTGCGTACTGAGAAACATCAAATCAAATTAATTTTCTTCATTTGTTTTTAATTTTTTTATTATTTTAGAGGATTAACAAAAAAGCTATATTACATCTCATGCAACTATGTGATACGACATGAAATTTTGTATTCCCCGTGTCAGCTTACATACTTAAAGAAATTGGAAATGGCTTCGCTGTTCGAGGAAGGTATGAAAAACATTGTGTCTTATTCGACTTATTCGAAAAAGAGCAAGAGACCTGTAACGAATTACACAAAAATTATAAAATCGCATTACGGTTGCAGAATGCCTATGTAGTTTTTAATGTAGTAAAACTGGAAAATTTAATTGCGAAATATTTGGAACGGTGAAAATAGAGCCAAACAAGGTTGCCAAGCATTGTAAAAGTCAGTGGTACGCGCGTTAAAAACATCATCACGGTTAAAAAATTTTGAAATTACTTGTATATGCGTATGTTTATGTTATAAACAGAGCGATTGCACACAAGTATTTTTCTCCCACAGATCTTTTCGAACAAACAGGGCAGTACGAACCTCTTACGACTCGTCTACGTAATATACTCCGTGAATACAAAGATGGCGTCGGTATTTTCAAAGAATTGATTCAAAATGCAGACGATGCTGGAGCTACAAAAGTCAAGTTTTTGGTGGACTGGAGACAAGGAAGAACGGAGAGTCTTTTCTCCCCTGGCATGGCTGAATGCCAAGGACCAGCATTGTGGGCCTACAACGATGCTGTGTTCACTGACGATGATTTTGAAAACATCAACAAGCTTGCAGGAGAAACGAAAGTCGGAGATATTTCAAAGATTGGTAGGTTTGGTCTTGGTTTCAACGCCGTCTATCACCTCACAGACGTTCCAAGTTTCATCAGCCGAGAACACTTGGTGGTATTTGATCCGAACACTCACCATTTACAACGTCACATTAAGGACAGATCCCGTCCTGGAATTCGCATCAATCTTTCCGAGAAATCAGAGTCGCTAACACGTTACCAGGATCAGTTTCAGCCATACAATGGCGTCTTTGGTTGCAATACAACGCAAACACGTGAAGCATTCCACTATAATGGAACATTATTCCGATTTCCTTTCCGCACGGCCACCCAAGCGAAAACTAGTGATATCATCAAAACCGCTTACGGTCGGGACAAGGTTCAAAGTATTGTTCGTAGCCTTTGTGAATGCGCTGAAACCCTTTTGATCTTTTCCCAACATGTGAAAGAAGTAGAAGTCTTTGAATTGAGTGGACGGAGTCAGCCAGGCCTAATGCGATTGGTACTCTCTGTAAAGAAACCCAGCGTTCAAGTCCTCAGTCAAGAAGGGGTGAACGACAAAGAACCGTTCATTAAACAGTGTTCTAAATGGTGGGGAAAACACCGTGAATCTCAAATGTCTTGCGATATATTTCCGTCCAGTTGTGAGATGGTAAATATTGTGACTACAAAAGAGCGGTCGGAACTGAATGGTTGTAATGGTCGAAAACACAGCAATCAAAAGTGGCGTGTAGTTTCAGCAAGTGGTAGAGACGCATCTCTCGAAATTGCTCGCTCACCAGAAGGTCGTGCTCGTGGCTTTTTGCCCTGTGGTGGGGCAGCGTTTGTCGTTCAGAAAGCAGCTAAGAAACGTTCTTACTCAGATCTTTCTGGGGAACTGTTCTGTTTCCTTCCATTGTCTATTTCCACAGGGCTTCCTGTCCATGTTAACGGTTACTTTGCCATCATGTCTAATCGCGTTGAACTTTGGAAACGATCGATTATAGGAAGCCAAGCAGTCGAGGTGAAATGGAACGAAGCGCTGATGGAGGATGCACTGGCCAGAGCTTACATCATGCTTCTTGAAAACGTGAAAGATTTGATCGGTAAGAAAAAAGATTACGAATACCACAGTTTGTGGCCAAGCAGTGACACCGTTGACATGAAATCTTGGGCGAAGCTAGTTCAGAAAATTTGCAGTGTCTTGTTGGATCCGAATTCCAAGTTGTTCTACTGCGATGGAAACTGGATGAGTGTCAACGATGGTTACATACTGAGCGATGAATTTACCGAGATCTACGAGACGACAGTGGACGTTTTGCGATCCCTGGGAACCCATGTTTTCAGTTTACCCCGTAACATATTAAACACCCTGAGGCAGTACGATCAATCCGGGATTCTCCAACGACGAACTTTGTCGTTCACTGTTTTCATTCAAAAATACTTTCTCCCAAACATCAGAATCTTCCTTCCGTCTCAGCGGGACGCCATTGTTTGCTTTGGTTTGGATCGCATCTTTCGAGGGTCTGGATCATTTTTCTACAGAAGAAACAACGAAAGTGAGCTGATCGATCTCTTTAAAACAAATCGTTGCATCTCAGTATCCCAAAATCAGGTGATCTTGGTGAAACCCTGTGAACTTATTCACCCGTCCAGTGTAGCAGCGAAGTTGTTTTCTGAGCAAGATCACCGTTTTCCAGCTGGAAATGACCTGCGTGATGCAAACAGATTGTATGTTTTGGAAACACTCGGTATGGTAAGAGATCTGGATTGGGCCGGAGTATATGAACGGGCTCAGTCGGTCGCAAAAACTAGAGATCTGGGACGGTGTCGCAAGTTAATCAAGTACATTAGAAAGCGATCAGTAGAACTATCAATATCAGATTACCATCAAAGTTCTCTCCAACGTGTAAAGTTCTTGCCAGTGTTAAAGTATCCTGTTGAAGAATATCCTCTACCTTGGAAAGGATCACCACTTGTTCACTCATACCTCCTCTACTCACCAATCAACGTTTTCCTACCAGAACATGCCAACCTCATCGGATCGTCGTGTCTAATCGTAGACACCTCTGAGGAAAGTGGTTGTGGAGAGATAAATGCACCAGTGGCAGATATTTTGGGCTTTTTAAGTCGTCGTCCGGAAGACAAGTTTGTGTTTCAACAGTTAGACGAAGCAATTTCTTTTTGGAATCAGCTATCTGAAGAAGAAAAACAAGAGACAGAAATAAAGTCTGCGATCGAATCCATATGCCAGAGTATTTACAATTTTTTTGATGAAAAGGTTGTGGATCGTGTTTCCAGCCTCTCGCAAACGAGTTTCTTGAACAGTCTTGCCAATCGACACTGGTTGTTTCTTGATGGTAAATTCGTGAAAAGCAGTAAAGTTGCTTTTACATCCAACGGGATTGGATCTCCATTTTTGTTTACTCTTCCATCCTATTACATAAGAAATTATCGAAATCTTTTTCAAGCGATGAAAATCAAGAACGAATTTGATGTTGAAGATTACATCAGTGCTCTTTATGAATTAAAAAAGATGAAACAAGAACTTGCGTTGACCGAAAATGAATTCCACATTGCATTATTCTTCATCAATGAAATCGATGTTGAAAATCCCGTCGTGGAGAATCACAAGGGCAAGATCCCACTTCCGGACACCGAGCGTATTTTGCGCAGAAGTCGAGATGTCGTTGTTAATTTGGATTTGTGGCTCGAAGATCCAGATAATCATCTGAAAGTACATGAGAAAATATCAGCGCAAACCGCACATGCCCTCGGTGCTAAGCCACTGAAAAACGTGATATTGAAGAAATGTTCGAGTCGCATCGGCTATGGGGATTCGTTTGGACAGCATGAAGAACTGACTGACCGAATAAAGGGGATTATAGATGAATACCCTGTTGACGGAATACTAAAGGAGCTCGTTCAAAATGCTGACGATGCTCAAGCTTCGGAGATACACTTCATACACGATACTCGATCAGATCTACCCTATGAAAAAGTTGCAACAGAAGACGGGACAACCGAGGAGATACAAGGACCGGCACTTTGTGTGTACAACGATAGGCCATTTACAAAGAAAGACATCGAAGGAATTAAGAATCTTGGTATTGGAAGTAAACGAGGTAGCCCGGAGATGACAGGCAGATATGGGATTGGATTCAACTCCGTTTATAACCTCACGGACTGTCCAAGTTTTTTGTCAAATGATGACACTCTAGTGATTCTTGATCCACATCGCCGTTACGTCCTTGATGAAGACCCTGGCAAACTGTTCACGCTCAACACCAACCTACGTCATATTTTTTCAGACACGCTCAAAGGATATCTTGCTGACCATTTCAAATTAAAAGGCTCCACTATGTTTCGTTTTCCGCTAAGAAAAAGAGATAATGAGTCAAGAATTTCCAAGTTTTGCCCGAACCTGAAGAGATTTCTAGCCACTTTTCAAAAGGAAGCGAAAAGGTCGTTGCTGTTTCTAAATCATGTTAAGAAGATAACCCTTTCAACATTGCATCAGGGTAACAAGCTTGAAACCATATATTGCGTCGAATCTGTAATTTCGTCAGAGGATGAGGAAAAGCGCCGTCAGTTGACAAAGAAAATTTTGGACCAAAGTAATACGCCAACAGCGGAAATTGAATGGCAAGAGGTCAGTTACATCCTGGCTATTAAAGAAGGCAGAAGTGAAGTCGAGAAATGGTTGATACAGAAGTGCTTTGGATCAGTTAATTCAACCTCAAATGCGAACATAACTCGAATTCCCGATGGTTGCCATCTTGGTCTTCTTCCTCGTGGTGGCGTGGCAGCTCGACTGTGTTCCCCACCTGGCCATGAAACGTTGCGTGGTATAGTGTACTGCTCCCTGCCTCTTCCGGAGAACTACACCGGCCTACCAGTTCATGTCAATGGGCATTTTGCCTTAGATAACACCAGACGAGGTCTTTGGAGCGATACTTACGGAAGGGGAGCAAAATATGAATGGAATCAATTTATGCTTCGCTGTGTATTACCACCGGCATATGCAGCCTTGATCAAAGAAGCTCAGAATCATCTCTGCGATGATGAAGCTGACGACCGTTTTTCGCGTTACCATCGTCTGTTTCCTAAAGTTGGGGGAGGTTCGTCGTGGAAAACCCTTACCAGCGAGTTATATCAATATCTTGGACAAACAAAAGCCAAAGTATTGCCATTGCTAATTCCCGAAGATAAAGCAACAGGAATTAGCCTTAAATCCTTTGTTGGTGGGTTGGTGACCTATATTTGGCGAAATGATGACCCTGAGCAACCACCGCCTTTTAGATTTATTGAATGGATGTCTTCTGACCAAGTATACTTCAAGGATTTGGGGGATTTGGAAGATTTGGAGGATGAGTTTTTATACCTTTTGTTACGAATTGGTCTTCCGGTATTGCTTCACGCTCCATACCAAATATACGATGGTTATAGATCAGTTGGTATGCCAACGAATAAAGTAAATCCAAAAAACGTAATCAGGTTCCTAAGCGAATTTCAATCGATTGGATCTACCTGCAAGATTGGTAATCTTCCGAAAAATCTGGAAAACACAGTATTCAAGAGTGTGGAAGAATTGTTAATGTTGATGAAGTATTGCTGCAAGGATGCAGATCTTGGCAAGCAGTTAAAAGGCCTTCCTTTGCTTTTAACACAAGATGGCTGCCTAAGAATTTTTAAACATCCAGTGTTCCGTTCTAAATTCGGGGATCTCATTCCAACGCAGTCTGACTTGTTTATTCATTCTGAAATTGTCCATCAAATCCCGTCAGATTCTACCGAATCGGAGGAAGATATTGTTCGAAATTTTACCGAAAAAGATCTCGCACGATTACTACCGAACGTGTTCCCAAATGAAACGTTAATTGCTATCAAGGATCGTGCCGCATGGGAACTCCCTCCCGAGGGACCTTTGTCAGAAAAGTGGTTGGAACGAGTTTGGGATTTCTTGCAAAATCACACAAAACCTGGACCCGAAGAAGATTCTGCCTCGCTGGATTGCCTGTCAGAATGGCCAATTGTTCCAACGGAAGATGGAAAACTTGTGACGGTCACGGACGCGAAATACATTTTGGATATGACTGTTTTAGGAAATGAGTCTGCACAACAACAAAACGTTCGCACATTTTTGAAAAATCTGGGGTGTCCTGTGCTAAACAAGCAGATTACATTTCAAGAGGAGTCTACGAGAAATGTTCGCCCTGTGCTTGATCCATATGTTGCCCACCCTCACAAAGTCGAAGATGTGTTACTCGTACTTTGTCACATGTTGGAGAGAAAAGAACTCGACACCTCAAAGCTTCCCGAAAATGATATTCCTAACTTCCTTCGGTTTGTACAAGACGACTACGAAAGGTCGGAGCATTTGGAAGACTGCAAGCAAATGGTAAAGGAATTACCGTTCCACAAAACGTTGGATGGAAAACTTGTGAGTTTGCTCGGTCCCTATTTTTCTTATGCTCTTGTTCCCTCTGGCGTTCCAACACAACAGTTGGACGAGCTTCAAAAGCGGGCGAAATCTCTTTTCCTGGACTCTGATGCTATAGATACGCTCAAGAAACTCTACACCGATCTTGGCGTGATAGGTGGTAAAGACGTCAAGGAATTTTACGTGGAGTATGTCTTCAAATATTTCGATATTTTCACTGGGGAAAGTCAACTAGAACATTTAAAAAACATCAAGGAAAACATCTTCCCGTCACTCCCAAGAGGTTACTCGCGTGAAAAGGAAACATTTCTAAAAAGTTTTAAAGAAACTCCTTGTATTCCTGACATAAATGGCCGACCGCGTGTTGCATCTGAGTTTTTCGACACAAAAAATGCTTTGTTTTGTGCAATGTTTGTAGACGACCCAGAGAAATTTCCATCTCCGCCATTCGACGATGAAGATTGGCGTGGCTTACTTCGTTCGATTGGATTGCAAGTTGATGTCACTCCTCAGTGCTTCCTGCAATTTTGTGAAACGGTTGCCATAAATGGAAAACGTTCTCCCGAAAGCAAACAATATCGCCAGCAGTCCAAAGAGTTAGTCAATTGTCTGTTTTCAGAGGAAGCTTTGCAGAACGAGGAATTTTTAGTTAAAATCTCTGAAATTGGTTTTATTGCGTCAGCTACAATGGAAGATGAACTTGCCTCAATTCACAAGCCGTATGAATGTTCACAAAACATCCATCCACCTTTTATCGAGTTCCGTGATGCAGTGCCGTGGCATTTGAGAAATATTTCATGGACTACTGTTCCAATTCTCCCAGACTGGGTGCAACCGAACGAAATGGATAAATGGAGCAGCCTTGGCATTGCTGACTCTGGTCCGGCATATACCAAAGTCATCGATCATCTTCAAAACATTGTCAGTTCACCTAGTCTCGAGTCGTGTGAAAGTTCACTCTTGGGTGAAATCACCACGTCAATTTATACGTCTTTGTCGGCTACTATGCAATGCTCCTTTACCAATTCACATGACAGTTGTGAAGATGTTTGTAAAGACATTGGTGCAAGATTGGAAGGGAGTTCATGCATCTTCCTTCAAGAAGATAAAACCTTTGTGAAAGCAGAACAGCTTGTTTTTAAAATATCTAGTCGATTCCATTTGAAGCCATTCCTCTTTCCTGTGCCACCTAAATTTAGGGAATTGCAACATTTTTTCAAACGACTTGGTGCAACAGAAAGGCCAACACCACAGCAGATCGCCTACGCCCTGAGATCCATTCACGAACAGATCGGAGAAGAGATGCTCTCTGCTGAACAACAGAAACAAACCAAATATGCCATGCGTGTCATTTTCCGTTCATTACACAAGGGCCAAACTGCTGATGGCATAAATGAATTGTATTTGCCAACACAATGCGGACGCCTTCTCAAATCCTCTGAGACTGTATGCAAAGTCTCACCTCGTTTTACTGAAGTAGTCAAAAATCTTGAACGTCCAATTCTGTTGCGGTTCGGTGAATGTTGCCTGAAAAAAATTGCAGATAGTTATATTGATGCTTTACCAGAGCATTTAACACCAATAAAGTTCGGTGATATTATCCGAGAGAATGTTTCTTCTGAGTGCAAACGTTCAGTATGCCTTGAGGCTCGAGATGGCTCCATATGCAAATTCGAGGAAGAATTCCAGGATCTGTTGAAATCCGACGAGTTCCAGGAAGGCTTGAAACGCTTACTAAGTCACGATCAACAGAAGCCTAAAGCCTTTGCAGAAGTCATAAAGAAACTGCAAACGGATGTTAAGATGAAATGCGTGGGATTCGAAAGGGTAAAAATAGATATTATCCGCTGTGAAACGAACGAAGTGTTGGATAATTTGGCGGAGGTTTGTTACACGGTGAAGGAAAATGACACATGGTCATTTTACATGCAACACGATTTTAAAGATGATCGTAAATTCCTTTCAACTGCTTCCTGTGTTAACAAGATACTCGGAGATTGTATAAAAAGAGAAATCGGTCTGATTGCAATGGTTAGCTGTTCGTTACCAAGTGAAATTTCAGCAGAGTTAGATAGACTTGATATTCCTTACAGTAGTTGGGAAACTGCTGATGACTCCGATGTGTCTGACGATGAATCTGAACTAGATGAGGCTGAACATGGTAGGTCTCGTCACTCTCGTGGCCTTGCTCTTGGTCATGATGATGGTGCTGGTCTACTTCATCCATGGTGAGATAGTTATTTTGATTATGTCAAGATTTTCGAACTTTTGCAGTGTTTTGATTGTACTAGCTTTAATCGAAAATATATGAAAACACTCCTTCCACTTAAACCATTGATAATGAAAAAATTGGCTTAGAAGCCCGTAATGGTGCCTAGGCTTTCCACAGCATGTCAGCGTGTAGAATAACACCACCCGTCACATGTTATGGCTTAATTTTTTTTTTTTTGGAACGCCTGATATACGCATGAAAATTTGAATTTTCATTGTCTTTTTCAGGACAACCGATAGAATGGTGGATGAAAGATTCTATCCACAGAATCCTGGTGAAATGTTTCGTTGGCTGAAGCAATCCATGAGCGACTTAGACAGTGCGAAATGGTTACTCCAAGCCGGTCCACCTTTCGACGCCCTTGCTTGTTTCCAGAGTCATCAAGTGGTGGAGAAATGTTTGAAAGGAATGTTATTCTACAGTTGTGGTATTCCTGGTGAATTGCTTAGTTCTCACAATGTGGAGAATCTGGCAATGGCGCTCAGGGGAAAAACAGAACTACCGGATGACACAGCGATGCAGTCGGTGAGAACAGTTGCTGGATACTACCTAAGCACCCGTTATCCCAACCGCCAACCGTTTGATATCGTTCCTGCCGAAGCCTTTGACGCAAATGAAGCACAGAGGGCAATTAATGCAGCCTCGAAAGTATTTACACATCTTGTTGAAAATTTTCTTAAAGATTGATTGACGATAGATAAGTAAACAGCTTCTATGATGTATACCTTTAATTCTTTTGTTTTTTTGAATTCGCTGGAGTGTCGGATCCGGCGACGTGATTCGAAGAAAGAACGCCTAGCATAATTCGAATAGTCCTTTCATACGAACCATTTTTTTCTAACTGTCGAATTTCAATTTTTATGGTATACATCGCTTTCGGGATGTCATACTATAATAGCCTTCACATCAAACAAGACTGTGAAGGCGTCCGGTATTCGAATATAAATAATTATTTTCAGAAAAAATTGACTGTCGAAAATTTGCACGAACAAAAGTTGTTTAATAGAATTGAAGCCGTTTAAAGTTTATTTCGTACTTTGCTGCGTGGAAGATTCTACAGTTGATGTTTGAGAAACTACGAAATATGTTAGGCTTTCTATCACGCATTCGTATTTTTACGTTTTAATTTTAACTGACCAAATACCTTAAATTATTGTAACAGATGACAAATGCATGACAAAATTAATTAGTTTTAGTAGGACATATATGCACGAAAGCGATTTTATGGGGAAAATACATGGGAAGACGTTTTATTACTGATTTACCAATTGGACAAATGAACTATAATTAAGATTTAGACCAGCAAGCATGAATTGGTTAGTTGTTGAAACACTTGGCATTGTGGTATAGTGGTAGATGAATGCATCACCAGCATGCAGGCAGCAGGAAAAAACGTCCTGAATATCAAAGTTCACGGGCAAAAATTCTGCAAAAGAGAAAATAATGTTATACGAACTGATCTAAGGGCGCTTTCCTTTATACGGAAAAAACGGCCAGACCGGTCCTGTTGTATTTCGGTACAGACAGATTACTGGCATTTTAGAGTGTTTCAAGAACTCTGAATTCAAGTATATCGTTATTTACATCTGCCTAGCACGGGAAAGTATAGTTTTATCGCTATATTCCTAACGAAATACTTTATTTCAATTTAAAATATGACTGGTCTCACCATTTTGGCCGTTTAATGGAAAGTGCCCTAAATCATTATTAATTCGACAAACTAAATGCCAAGTGCAAAAGTTGAAGCCGTTGATTGTTAAGCCTTGGTTAAACGTCGCAGATTGAAACATTGTCTTTTATAATTTGAAATGATTAAAACTTTATTCCGAACAATTGTGCGCGGGCGTTTTCCATCATTCATTTTTACCGTGTGCAAGCTTCAAATCTTCTGTGCAAGTCATATTTCGTTGGGCATTTGTAAGTCTTTTTGCTACCCAAATTTGAAGCTAGTATAAGTATTAAGAATTGCGGGTAAGTTTTACCAATTTCCGCTGCGTCGCTCGTCATACTATCATGCATATTCCATACGCGTGATTTTATTTCACTATTGAGAAGGCCGCTATTGAACGTCGCATTGTGGTCGCGTCGAATGCATTTCAAACAAAAGATATTGAGGTGTTAATGAGCTTAGGCAATTAAACTCCAGGGATTACATTGTTATAGGTGATTTTAATGGTTTGGGGGTTTTTTGGGACATCCTGTATATCTAAGGCTTAGGTTTTACGTCGCGTTTTGGTCGCGTCGAAAGCAATTCAAACAATAGATGAGATGATAAGTTACGTTAATGCCCACGAGCAAAAATTTGCGTCATTCAAATTTTAACAATAGATGATTTCAAGGGACACCCTGTATAATTTATTTACGTTTTACGGATTATTATGCATGCATACATATGTGCATCCATGTTTACTTGGACATATTTGCATATCTCGTAGGCGAAGAAAGTCTATTTTTGTCGTACAGATATGCACTTCAAGTTCAAAACCATTTTAATCATTCTTAAGGGCTGTTTACATGAGCCCGGTTACCCGAGATTAAACGAAGCATGAGATGATTTTGAGGTATTGAAATGAGCAGATAACATGATCTTGGCAGTCGTATAATCACCACAACAATAGCATGTGCTTTTTTTGCTGTCATAACGACTTATTTCAATACCTCAAAGTCCCCTCACGCTTCGTTGAATCTCGGGTAACCGGGCTCATGTAAACAGCCCCTAAACTGACCGAGACACGTGAGCAATAATGGAATATTACTATCCCTGCCAGAATAGGCCCTATACTGAAGTGCGGTTAGTTTCATCACGTCCTAGGCGCTTCTGCAATCTGCATTGTTTATCCGAGAAAGCGGAAGCGCCCGAGCCGCGGCCGAGCGGTTAACCTAACCACTAAACAGCTCAAATCGAAAGCGATTATACGATGTGACGATGTTTGATTCATTTGCTCTGAATTTAACAGCCACATCTCAACGTCGATCCAAATTAGGCTTTGGCAACTTTGCGCTAAGGTTACACCTTTTGACAGGCAAATAGTTAGGTAAGTGAAGTCCAAAGAAAATCTGTGTCCTCGATATTAGTATCGTCTGCATGGTTCGTTTAACGTGTGTCTGTAGTAACGTCTGAAGCGTTGGACTTGGATATTTTCTTATTGTCTGTATATAACAATATGTACATCTCAGGATGTATAGATGGATGTTAACTATGGGTTGCAATTGTAAGTAGGAACTAAGAAGGCCGATATTCATTGTGTACTTGTTGAAATTCGAGCACGGTTTCGAAAAAATATATTCGTTTCAGACTTTCAGCAAAATGCTCTGATGTACATACGAACTCTTATTTAAACATCCGTAACTAATTCACTCGTTTACATCTATCAAAAGAAGAAAATCGCAGCAAAATTGTAAGTTGTAACGTGCTTTTAGCGAACTTTAGATTCGGGGTACATTTAATTATTCATTCAATTATTAATTAATTATGAAATTCCGGTTAATGGCACCTGCTGCAAGGATCGAATAGACCTCTACAGCCGTTATTTTGTGCGCAAGAAAGTTCCAACTTTAATTTATCATCGAAAATACTACAGTTCTCTTACAAACGCTTCGGAATCCCAAAAGGCGTAACTTGAATTTTGTGATATAACATGAGCACTTTCGTTTAGTATCACCCGAGATATTGGCAAATCAATTTCAAGGAATTAATTCATTTTGCCTTATTTGGATGGTTTTCAACAATTTTTTTTACTCTTTTCGAGTGGTAATAAAACAAAAATATAATTGTTTAGCTCAATTTCACTTCATACAGCTAGTGTGACGAAAAGCTCAAAATTTAAGTTATGAATCAGGGATATACTTTTCTTGAGTTACGCAGCTTTTATAGTACCTGCATAGTGAAGCAAACGACTTAATTTCTGGATACTCTCTGCCACTGGTGTATTCTTTGTCATTGTACAAAATAAGCGGAAACTTTTAAAGTAGAAAATACTACTTAAAAATAAAAATAAATTATTCCTATCACGGCGTCTTTTTATCGAGATGCTGGCGAAAACAACAGATCGTTTCATTAGGAATAAAAATGCATGTGATGTTAAACATCTTACAAAATTGACACTACATTCTTTGTGTATTTGTGGATCCTTTTATGACCTGTAAAAAGACATACCGTTTTCTACATAGCTTGCAGTTATGGTTTTAAAATCCCTGACGATGTATTCAATGGTATCAATGATATCCAGCTCATCTGGGTATAAAAATCAACCAATAAGAAGCCAGATCTTCGACAAAACTGAATTATCATTTCCTTCATTGCACATGACTTAGACACTCGAAAATATCGAGTAATTGTACTATATTTATGTGAAAACACGTTTATTTTTTCTCAAACTGCATGTTAGAATTTAAATTTTTCACCCTTTATAATATTAGTAGGAAGAATAAGGACAAATAACACCAGGCACATGATAACTCAGATTTGTCGAGACGCTTTATGACGTCATGATCTCAGATCAGCTCGATATTCGATGATATCGATTATATATCAATTAAATTGTTCAAAAACAGATTACTTTTCAAAGTTTACGTGTGTTCATTGGCGTAGCCAATCTGACGATTTGTCCCTCTAAAACATGAATAACTCTAACTTTCTAAAGATATGAATAATTATAATAACTCGAAATTTACATAGCGGGACAAAATCGTCTGGCTGGCGATCAGGAACCGCCAGGCTGTGTTTCTACCTATTCTGTCACTTGGTGTCACTATAATTCCTCTGCTTCTTTTCAATTTTAGGATGATTGTTAAAAAGTTACCTATTTCATTTTGTGTCACTTTGGATACAAATTAAGTGTTGTAGTGCATATTGTTGCTTACATACTTACTGATATAAGTTTATTGAAAATGGCTGCAAAGTTAGAAGAAGGTACGTAACACATATCGAAATCATAGCTAAAGAAAACAGTATTTCAATTATGTCACCAGAAACGTGGCAATTAACATTAATATTATGTCTTTTCTTTCGGTTAGATCTTTTCGAACAAACAGGACAGTACGAACCACTCACAACTCGTCTACGTAATATACTCCGTGAATACAAAGATGGTGTCGGTATCTTTAAAGAATTAATTCAAAATGCAGACGATGCTGGAGCTGGTAAAGTCAAGTTTTTGGTGGACTGGAGACAAGGAAGAACGGGGAGTCTTTTCTCCCCTGGCATGGCCGAATGTCAAGGACCAGCATTGTGGGCTTACAACGATGCTGTGTTCACTGACGATGATTTTGAAAACATCAACAAACTTGCAGGAGAAACGAAAGTCGGAGATATTTCAAAGATTGGTAGGTTTGGTCTTGGTTTCAACGCTGTCTACCACCTCACAGACGTCCCAAGTTTCATCAGCCGAGAACACTTGGTGGTCTTTGATCCGAACACTCACCATTTACAACATCACATTAGGGACAGATCCCGTCCTGGAATTCACATCAATCTTTCCGAGAAATCAAAGTCGTTAACACGTTACCGTGATCAGTTTCAACCATACAATGGCGTCTTTGGTTGCAACACAACGGAAACACGTCATAGATTCTGCTTCGACGGAACATTATTCCGATTTCCTTTCCGCACATCCGCCCAAGCAAGAACCAGCGATATTATCAAATCCCCATATGGTCGAGACAAGATTCAAGCCATTGTTTGTAGCATTTGTGAATGCGCTTCGAATCTTTTAATCTTCTCCCAACATGTGAAAGAAGTAGTCGTCTTTGAATTGGATAAATCAAGTCAACCAGACCAAAAGCGTTTGGTGCTGTCTGTGAAGAAACCAAGCGTTCAAGTCTTCCGGCAAGAGGGGACAAACAGCACAGAACCGTTTATAAAGCAGTGTTCCAAATGGTGGAAACAAAACCGTGATTCTCAAAACATTTGCAAGGAATTCCCATCCAGTTGTGAGCTTGTTAACATTGAGACCAGAAAGGAAGAGTCAGAATTGAGTGGATGTGACGGTCGATACAGAAGTGACGAAACTTGGTTGTTAGTTTCAGCAAGTGGGACTGACGATTCTCTCAAAATTGCTCGCTCACCAGAAGGTCGAGCTCGTGGCTTCTTGCCCTGTGGTGGGGCAGCGTTCGTGATTCAGAGAGCCTCCAGGCGGAATTCCAACTCTGATCTTTTTGGGGAACTGTTTTGCTTTCTCCCTTTGTCCATTTCCACTGGGCTTCCTGTCCATGTCAACGGGTATTTTGCCATCATGTCTAATCGCGTTGAAATTTGGAAACGATCGACTACAGGAAACCAACCAATCGAGGTGAATTGGAACGAAGCCCTGATGGAGGACGCATTAGCCAGAGCTTACATCATGCTTCTTGAAAACCTGAAAGATTCGATCGGTAAGATAAAGGATTACAAATTTTACAATCTGTGGCCAAGCAGTGACACCGTTGATATGAAATCCTGGGAGAAGCTAGTTCAGAAAATCTGCAGTGTCTTGTTGGATCCAAGAACCAAGTTATTTTACAGCGATGGAAATTGGAAGAGTATCAAAGATGGTTTTATTCTCAGCGATGAATTTACCGGGATCTACGAGACGACAGTGGAATTATTGCGATCTCTGGGGATCCATGTTTTCAGTTTGCCCCGTAACAGGTTGGAAACCCTAAGAAAATACGATCGATCCGGCATCCTGCAACGACGCACTTTGTCCTACACAAAATTTATGGAGCAAAATTTTTTTCCAAACATCAAGACTTTCTCTCCCACTCAGAGAGATGCCATCGTTTGCTTTGGATTGGATCGAATCCGATATAAAAAAGAATCCTCCTGCGATGCTCGCCTTTTCAAACAGAATGCCTCTATTTCAGTATCACTAAACGGGAGAAATTTGGTGAAACCTTCTAAACTTATCCACCCATCCAGTTCCCCATCGGAGTTGTTTTCCGAGCAAGATCAGCGTTTTCCAATCGGACACGGCCTGCGTGATGCAAACAGATTGTATGTTTTGGAAACACTCGGTATGGTGAACGATCTAGATTGGGCTGGAATCTACGAAAGAGCTAAGTCAATCGTTGAAACCGGAGGGCTCGAACGGTGTCGAAAGCTAATCGCATACATCAACAAGCGAATAGATCACTTGCCAATCCCAGTTCCATATTCAAGTCTTCTGCAACATTTACAGTTTCTGCCAGTGTTAAAAAAGCCTGTTGGTGAATTCATTTTACCGTGGAAAGGATCATCAAATTTGGTTTGTTCGCAGTTATACGCACCAAACGAAGTCTTCCTTCCAAAAGATGCCATGCTTGTTGGATCATCCTGCTTAATCGTAAATACATCCAATGAAGATGGTTGTGGAAAGATGAATACAAAAGTAAAAAATCTTTTAGGATTTTCCAGCCGTCAGCCTCAATACGAGTTAGTCATTCAGCAGTTAGAGGAAGCAATGAAGTTTTGGAGTAAGTTACCGAAAGAGAGAAAACAAAAAGCTGAAATGAGATCGGCCATTGAATCCGTCTGCCAGAGAATTTACCGATTCTTTAACGATGCGATCACGAGAAAGGGGTCGAGAAAGGGGTCGAGAAAGGGGTCGAGAAATCGAAGATTCCTGAGTGAGCTCGCAGTACGGAATTGGTTGTTTCTTCAAGGCACGTTTGTGGAGAGCAAAAAGGTGGCTTACACGTCAAGCGGAAACGGAGCTCCATTTTTATTCACCCTTCCATCCAACTACATATTGGAATATCGCAATCTTTTTGAAGCTGTTCAAATCAAGGAGACATTTAGCGATGAAGATTACATCAGCGCTCTTTCTGAACTGGAAAAAACAAAGCAAGGTTGGCCCCTGAATAGCGACGAATTGCAAGCTGCAATATTTTTCATCAGTCAAATAGATGTCGGAAATCCCACCGTGAAGAATTTCGTCGGAAAGATTCCACTTCCAGACACACATAGAATTTTGCGTCCAAGCAAAGATGTTGTGGTAAACCTTAGCTTATGGTTGAAAGATCCAGGTAATAACCTAAAAGTCCACGAGAAGGTACCACCGCAAACAGCACATTTCCTCGGCGCGAAATCTTTAAAGAATGTAATATTGAAGAAGTATTCACGTCGTATTGGCTACGGAGAGTCATTCGGGCAACACGAAGAGTTAACTGAACGACTAAAAGGAATTCTGGATGGATATCCGGCTGATGGAATACTAAAGGAACTTGTACAAAACGCTGATGATGCTCAAGCCTCGGAGATACACTTCATACACGATACACGACGTCTGAAATGTCAAAAGGTCGTGGTTGAAGGAGAAACGTCGGCGGAAGTGCAAGGACCAGCACTTTGTGTCTACAATGACAGACCATTTACAGACAAAGACCTGGATGGAATTAAGAATCTTGGTATTGGAAGCAAGCGAGATACTCCAGGAATGACAGGAAAATATGGAATTGGTTTCAATTCAGTTTACCATCTTACCGACTATCCCAGCTTTTTATCCAACGACGACACTCTTGTGTTTCTCGATCCTCATTCCCGATATTTTGATGATGATCGTGGCCAAATATTCAAAGCCATGGATGCAGAATTTCGAGATCTCAACTCGGATACACTCGACGGATATCTTCCTGGTAAATTTAATTTAAAAGGCTCTACTATGTTCCGTTTTCCCCTGAGACAAGAAAGGAATGAATCGAAGATATCCAACGGTTCTCCTGATGTGGAAAATCTTTTTCAGACCATGGGAGAGGACGCACGGAAGTCATTGTTATTTCTTAATAATATCAAGAAAATAACATTATCAAAGATTAATCTAAATGGCAAAATGGAAGAAATATTTTGTGTCGAGTCTGTGATCACTCCGGAGGATGAGAGAAAGCGTAGAGAACTGGGACGGAAGGCCTGCGATCTCAAAAACATTCCAACCGCTGAAATCGGATGGGAGGGAGTCAACTACACCCTAAAAATCTACGAAGACAAGAAGAAAGTCGAGAAATGGTTGGTACAAAGGTGCATTGGATCGATCGTTTCAAACTCCTCTCTAATACAGAATGGTGAAATCCCCGACGGACGTAATCTGGGTCTTCTTCCACGTGGTGGTATTGCAGCTCGACTGTGGAATCGTTCCTCGTTCTCGTTTGGTCAAAAACAATCAGAAGTTCGTGGCATTGTATACTGTTTCTTGCCTCTCCCACAGAATTGTACTAATCTTCCTGTTCACGTCAACGGTCATTTTGCGTTGGATAGCACTAGACGAGGACTTTGGACAGACACTGATGGTAAAGGCATAAAATGTGAATGGAACAACTTTATGAAAACCTCTGTATTACCACGTGCCTACGCTGATTTGATCATTGAGGCTCGTAAGCACCTGTGCGACAGTGACGACCAACTTTCACGTTACCATAGTTTCTTTCCAAGAATTTTTAAAGATAGTGCCTGGGCAACTCTTGCCATTGCATTGTATCGGCATCTTGGCCAGACAAGAGCTAGCGTGCTGCCGTTGCTGGTTCCAACCAAATCAGAAGACAAGGGGACTACTCATCTTGGTGGGTCTAACTACACCTCGAGCAGCGCTATTACTAACAAAACCTCACCTGCGCGTTTCAATCGCCCCGAATGGCTTCCTGCTGACCAAGCCTATTTCACCAGTTCACCAGTTGATGAAAATACTGATTTTCTGCATCTGCTATTACGAATTGGTCTCCCTGTGTTGCTTCAAACTCCGTATCGAATATACGATGGATTCAGATTTGGTGGTGTGACTTCGAACGAAGTAAGTCCAAACAGCGTAATTGGTTTTTTAAAAGAATTCAATTCGACAGGATCTTCTTGCAAGGTTGGAAATCTTCCGAAAAAGCTGCAAGCCACTGTAGTCAAAAGTGTTTCAGACTTGTTACTCTTAATAAAATATTGTCGTGCTGAAGAAAATTTCGGCAAACAGTTGAAAGGCTTACCTTTGCTATTAACACAAGATGGCTACCTGAGAATCTTTGAGTCATGTCATCCAGTGTTCCGTTCTACATTCGGGGATCTCATTCCAACGCGGTCTGAATTGTTTATTCATTCTGAAATTGTCCATCAAATCCCATCAGATTCTACCGAATCGGAGGAAGATATTGTTCGGAGTTTTACCGAAAAAGATCTCGCACAATTACTACCGCACGTGTTCACAGGCAAAATGTCTTTGAAGGCAATCAATTGTCGAACATGGACGTTCCCAACTAAAGGAATCTTGTCAGAACATTGGTTTAGACGACTATGGAAATTTCTACAAAATTACGCCAACCCTGAGTCCTGTAAAGATTACGTCCCTCTAAATTGTCTCTTGGAATGGCCAATTATTCCCACAACAGGTGGAAAACTTGTGACTGTCCAGAATGCGAAATCCATTTTGGATATGACAGCCTTGGGAAATGAATCTGCTCAACAAGAAAAAGTTCGCAAGTTCTTGATGAAACTGAAATGTCCAGTACTAGACAAAGAGATCACTTTTCAACAACATTCAAAAAACGTTCGTGCTATAACAGATCCTTATGTTGGCCACCCTTACAACGCGAGCGATGTCTTAATCGTTCTTTGCCACATGTTGAGGACAAACGAGCTCAGCATCTCTAAGGTTTCCAAAACTGACATTCGTGACTTTCTTCGGTTTGTGCAAGATGACTATGATAGGTTGGAGGATTTAGAGCAATGCAAACGAATGATAAAGGAATTACCGTTTCATAAAGCATTGGACGGACAGTTCGTTAGTTTGATCGGTACCTATTCTTCTTATGCTCTTGTTCCGTCTGGCGTTCCAGTGCAACAGTTAAATGAGCTTCAAAGTCGAGCTGAATGTCTTTTTTTGAACTCAGACGTATTATTCACCCTGCAGAGACTCTACATCGATCTTGGCGTCAGAGGTGGTCAAAATGTCACACAATTTTACGTGGAGTATGTCTTCAGATATTTCAAGATTTTCACCAGAGAAAGTCAATTGGAACATTTACGTTATATAAAGGACAACGTCTTTCCTTCATTTCCACAAGCTGGGTCATCTGCGAGGGACGATTTGCTGAAGAGTATGAGAGAAAATCCTTGTATTCCTGACGAAAATGGCCGCCTGCATCTCGTAGCTAACTTCTTCGACCCCAAGAACGAGCTGTTTAAAGTAATGTTTGCAGACGATCTTAAGAAATTTCCTCCGCCACCATTCAATGATACAAGTTGGTTACAACTACTTCGCGATATCGGATTGAAAGTTGCGATCACACCTCAGTTATTCTTGCAATTTTGTACGACAGTAGCTGAATATGGCAGGCGTTCTCCTATCAACGAAGAAACCTGCATTCAATCCAGAGAACTGGTAAAGTGTCTTTTTACGAAGAGAACCTTGCAAAAAGAGGCATTTCTTTCTGAAGTTTCGCAAATCAAGTTCATCGCTTCAGCTGTAGTAGAAGATGAATTAGCCTTAATTCACGAGCAGTACCAACGTCCACAAAACAGCTATCCACCTTTCATTGCGTTCCGTGATGCAGTTCCGTGGGATCACAGACTCATATCATGGACTACTGTTCCACTTCTTCCAGACTGGGCGCAACCAAACGATATCACAAAGTTTAACAACCTTGGTATTGCTTATTCTGGACCTGGATATATCAAAGTACTCAATCATCTGCAAAACATAGTCAACTCACCTTGCCTTGAATCAGTTGATGGTGAACATGGTGAACAGTTAAAAGAAATCACGAAGCTGATTTACCGGTTCCTCTCTGGTACCATGGAATGCTGTGGTCATAACCCAAATGGCAGATGCACTGAAGTTTGTTTAGATATTGGCAATCGCCTGAGAGGTAGTTCATGCATATTTCTACAGAAAGATAAAACCTTTGTGAATGCAGAACTATTGGTGTTCAAAGCTTCTGAATCATTCCGTTTGAAACCATTCCTTTTTCCCGTGCCAGATGAATTAAGAGAATTTCAGCATTTTTTCAAACGACTCGGTGCAACAGATAGGCCAACACCGCAGCAAATTGCCTACGTTTTAAGATCCGTCCACACACAGATCGGAGAAGGGGTTCTCTCTTCTGACCAGAAGAAAAAAGTCGTTTATTCGATGTATCAAGTTTTTCGTTTAATACAAAAAGGTGCAAGTCCTGATGGAATTGAAGAGTTATATTTGCCAAGTGAAAGCGGACAACTTCTCAAATCATCTGATATGATTTGCAAAGTTTCACCACGTTTTACGGAAGTGATAAAGAACCTTCAAATGCCTATTCTTTTGCAATTTGAAGAGTGTGGCCTTAGAAAGCCCGTTGATAGTTATATCGATGCACTACCAGCGCATTTAACTCCGATTAAATTTGATGATGTAGTCAGGGAGGAAGTCGCTTCTGAGTGCAAAAGTTCCACATGTTCCGAAGCTCGAAGTGGTGCCGTATGCCGTTTCCAAGAACAATTTCAGGATCTTTTGCGATCCGATGAATTCCAAGAAGGACTGAAACGGTTACTAGTCCACAATCAACAGGATCCACAGGAATTTGAAGAAATCTTGAAGAGACTGCAAACGAATACTACGATGAAGTGTATTGGATTTGAAAAAATCAGAGTCAATGTGATCGAACGTGTTACGAGTCTCTTATTGGATAATTTAGAGAAGAGTTGCTATGCAGTACAAGAAGACGGCGATTGGTCATTGTACATGCAACACGACTTAGCTGACGATGGAGGAAAGGTTTCAACTGCTGCCTGTGTTAATAAGATTCTAGAAGGTTGCATTAAAAAGGAAAATGGGCTGACCGCAATGCTCAACTGCACATCAGCAGGTGAAATTTCAGTGTCGTTGAATAACCTTGATATTACTCAAAGTACCTCCAGAAGCGCCGATGATTTCACTGAAGATGAAATGGATTCCGAGAGTGATGGTGAACGTGGGGACGGAGGAGATGGAGGGGGATTCAGTGGAGCCGAAGGGGATGGTATTGGTGGAACGTCTAATAGGCGGGGTAAAAAGCGCACTGCTCAGTCTCATGGTGGATATAGCATTGGTCCTAGTCATGGTTATGGAGATGGTGAATACTCAAGGTAAATTTAAACACATCAGAGCTTCCTGAGGCATAGTTGAGAGTTTTAAATAAAATTTAGCCAAGTCTACTGAGTGGTCCAGTGTTAAAAGGGCATTTTAAAGTCCAGAGATTCACCTTCGTAAGAACCTTCGACTTGTATCCACACATAGGGATATTGGGATAACAGTAGAATGCATGTAGTTAAAATTGATTAGTCGATTATGTAGTTAAAATTAATTGATTATGTCAGCTAAAATTGATAGCTTCGGGGGTAGAATTTGGGAGTGGGTTTTTATAGTACGGGCAAGTAATATGATATTATGATCACATTCGCGTTCCATCTGGATAATATAGTCTTTTAAACATCTAATTGATATGATTGACCTGTAGTATATAACTTTAAATGAATATTTTCCAGCTTCAGAGATGATACCGAAGACGAGAAAATTTTTCCGAAGGATTCCAGAGAAGCAATGCGATGGCTGCGACAATCCAGGAGTGATTTGAATAGTGCAAGGTGGTTACTCAAATCCGGTCCTCCTTACAATGCCCATGCATGTTTCCAGAGCCATCAGGTTGTGGAGAAATCCTTAAAAGCTTTGTTATTTTATCATTGTGGCATCTCTGGTGGTTTGCTCTCCTCCCACGACGTAGTGAGACTAGCAAGCAAATTCACAGAAGAAACAGGACTGAATGGGACTGCCACGAAATCAGTGACACGATTCGTCAAATATTACTTGAATACTCGTTATCCCAATCGCCAGCCGTTTGATATCGTCCCATGCGATGCTTTTAGCGACGATGAAGCAAAGACGGCCGTTGAAGAAGCATCTAAACTGTTCGACTTTGCTGCGAAGGAATTGAATGACCAGTGGCTAGAAACGAGAATGGTTTCGCCTCTGACATTTTAGCGAGATGAAGATAACTTGGAAAACAGTGTAGTAGTGACGATTTAGTCACGGTATTCAAATTTCAATTATTCCTCTATATACCGTGAATATCTATATACTGCATGTGAATATCTATATACCGTGAATATCTATATACTGCATGTGAATATCTATATACCGTGAATATCTATATACTGCATGTGAATATCTATATACCGTGAATATCTATATACAATCGCTCTACTGTTCCACGCACTCTATAGCAATAGAGTGACACAACGGGGATGACAGTTGGGAAACGGGTTTTCAGGCAAAGGCTGGCTTACACTTACAGGTACAGTCGGTGCGGCCGAATTGGCGCATGCTCTTTCGCGTACGTACGTGCAAGTGGAGGCCGGCCTTAAAATATGCCACCACGGTATTCCTACCCGTTGCATGATTGCCTAGGTTATTTTTTCCTTATGGCTGCTTTCATATAACATAATTCGTTGAAATTCGTTGTTATACGAAATCCGACACATGAAAACCGACACTGAAAATTCAAAGAACAAGATCAGGCTATAAGTTAGTTATTTATTACTTTGGGTATCTTTGCTTCGCGACTCCATAAAGCCGGAAGTGGTTAAAACATAATTATAGTCATGTAATCCATGCATCTCAAATCGAAAGTGATTATTACAGGAAAGATATAAACAAAATTTCTTAAAATACTGATACGTCCAAAGGCCGTTTATGTACTAATACGAATTACTGTAGATTTGAAGAGGCTTTTGCTACACAGCCAACGTGTGTGTACGACAAGAATCTGAACGTAAGTACAGAGGATATATAATCAATATTAAAACAATGTCAGAGTCATATATGTGTTCAAACTTGTGTCGGTAACCTGTGTCTGTGACTTTTAGAGCGTTAAACGTTAGTCTTCTACCGCACAATTACAGCAGTTTATGTCGATATTGTCGCAGATCATAGCTGGAACTTGTGAATCTTGTATTAAAGGGCGATATTTGTTGAAATTTGGGCAAGGCTTTGAATCCATATTATTATTCATCATATTAAATTAAGCGCAGAGGGAATATGACAACATAAAATTACGAAGTGGCTAGACAGCCGGCAGCCGGCTGTATAGTTTTTACTTGTCAAGCCTAAATAACCGGCAGCCGGCCATATTGTTGCTTGAAGTCAGCTTGAAATACTAAACGGCCGGCAGTTATCTAATCTGCAGTATCCACGTATTGTCTACACGAGTATCCTAATACAAAATGCCAAGAATTCGTATTTTCGCACGAATAAAGTTTATTAAATGCCATTGTATATATATCGTGTTGTTTTATAAATAATTTGCAGTAATTGAGCCGTCATACATGAGGAATCCGAATATTTTCCCCTTTTTTTACTTGTTATTCTCTGTTTGAAGAAAATGGTTTCGAGTACAAGATATTTGCGACTCGTATAAACCAGTAAAACCACTACTCAGAAGCTTTTGTTTATATGTATTATTGCAAAAGCGCTGTCTGGCCCCTAATAACCTGGGAACAAAAACGTGCGCGACGCGCGAAAAAGACACGCTATTGCGCGCCTACGCGGTATATACAGATGGCGGGAAGTTGGAATATTCAACAAGTCAATTTGTAATACAAATTTCCAAGATTGTATCCATATGGCTGAAAACAGTAAAGGTAAATTGGAATACACTTAGAAATCTTGCTCAAACTCAAATATTTACTTTATTTACTAAATTTTAAACTATTTGTTCAGAAGAGATCGCAGCAAATATCAACCTAAGCCTAGTACAGGTATCTAATAATCAGTGGCTCAATGACGAGGTAAGACAAGCTTTATACAATCCATTTGGCGTATGGCTACTGTTTCCCAAATCCCAATGGCAAAGCTAACCATAGTGCAAGTGGTCATCGAATGGTCATCCACACATTTGCTAGCCCCCCCCCCCCTCCCCAACTGACTAAATATACCCCTAAGGAATTAAATCCGCTTTGTATAATCCAGCCAGTACCATCCCTACAGTATTGTATCATTCTGTTCTTGTTGGTGCTTCCCATTACGGTGCAGAGTTCTATGGTGGGCCGTACTTTGACCCACTGTTGATTACTACAATGCATTGCCACATTACTAGTTTACTGTATGGTATTTATACTCTGTCCAACAGATGAACTTACACTCATTTAAGGGAGAGTTTTGCAGCTTAAGGATAAGGCAAGCTTTCCTTAGAGGTTACTAATTTATAATCATTAATTGTTTGGTTCCTTTCTAGATAATAAATTTCTATGGAAATCTTCTACAAGAATGCGCACAGAAGATGCCTGTATGTATATGATTCATTATGTTATGCTACATACATGCATGCACTTCATAATCAATTAATCAAGGATGCTATGTCTAAACACACTATTATACTATAAGCTGTTGAGGAATACATGGCCAATTGCAAAACCATGCATACATTCAAGGCAACCATGGTGTCCCATGATATTGCACTGTATGGTATTACTACACAATAGTGTACATGTGTTATGAATTTTATATGTGTCTTGATCATATATTCCATTGCATGTTCTCTGATAATAATTAGAATAGGTGAGCATTGCTAGGTTTACTGTATATGTTAATGTTATAAATTGATTAATTAATTATTGGTATATATATGTATATTGTCTCTTACAGAATGTATCAATCACAATTAAAAACAGCTTCTGTTTCACAAAGTTTAAAAAAGAGGAATTTTCCAATTCATTTGCTAGATGGATGGACAAGGTACACCTGTAGCAACTGGAGAGCCTGCTTGCAGGCTATATTATTAATAATATCAATGCGCCATTCCTCTTTTGAATTTCGAAAGTTAACAGTACAGCAGAAAAAAACATGTAAAATACAGAAAATATATAGCCCTGTGATGTTGGCAAATTTTTTATATTTTTGTATTTGTGTGGAAAATGCTTACCCCTTTTTTTAAAGTAGTAGGGGATTAAGCTATACTGTTTAACTTGCCTAGTCCGAAAGTCTAAAAAGGAATGGTGCATCTCTGTAGGTGGTAAAACAATAAACAAAATAATAAAACAATCATGTGTTAATTACATTTTTTCTGTTTTTAAAAGTGACTGACAATACCTCGATCAATTAAGTAGTACTGCTCTAAATTGTATGCATTATTTATGTTGCAACACTATAATTATGTTGAGAAATAACAAGATATTGCTAGATAGTCAACTGTTAATTACATATGATAAAAAATAATAATTTATTTGTATTTTTTAGGATAGTTCAGTTCTAAGTGACTTGCTCATGTTCCCTATCAATGAAGATAAACACTGGACACTATGTGTATGTATGACATGTGCATGCATGGACTAGCAGAGTAGACTACTTTATTAGTGTACTACATATGACATATTGTATAGTATATTTTAGCTCACATGTACATGTAATTAAGTAATTTTGTATCTAACCAAAGGTGGTGGACAAAAGAAATAAAGTTGTCACCTACTATGACTCCTTGGGTGGTACAGATTGCATACCTGACTATGTTGTGGATCATTTAAAATTAATAAGGTAATACGTCAATTCAGAAGTAATGAGTATAAATGCAGTCCTGTTAATTATGTACTTTGTCTAAATACACATTTATTTTTAGAAAACTTGTTACTCACCTATACCCTGAACATAATTCAGAGTCTTGGAGTTTTGGGACTGCAAAAGTAAGTTACTAGCTGTCATATGTGCATAGCATATAGCAGTACGTTGGAAGGCAATTAAGACAGATCACTGTAGCATAACAGCGAGCAAGACAGATCATGCACTGATATATGTTCATTGTTAAAAAGTGGTATTAGTCAGCTTTGGATGATTTAATTGACCCTCGGCCACATATAGTAACATAAAATTTATAGTAACATAAAATTATTATTTTGCAACCAAAATGCTATGATTAGAGCAGGTAGTAGCTATTGTTATTGGCTGCTAGAGTATCTTCACCTTGTTGGTCAATGATGTCACTGTATTCATAAAGATCCTTAAAGTTGTTACTTCAGATAACCCCCGACACTAGACTTGGATGAAACATTGGGTCTTGAATTTCTAAGTGACAGAGATACCTGGTTGCTGTGAGCAGGCTAACTTTATGTTATAATTAAATGTTGCTGACTGATTAGAAACGGAGGCAGTTTATGTTAATTAAATATTATTTTGTTCATTGACACAATTTATTAGGATATTCCGAAACAAGACAACTACATTGACTGTGGAGTATTTCTGTGTCAGGTAGGTATACTGTAATATGCAAAACAATTATGATAGGCAATCAGTATTAAAATGCTATGATCATTAAACCTGGTATGTCTTTTTAAACTATAAGAAATGTCTATAAGAAATAGCTATAAGAAATAGATGGATGTCCTCTTGAAAATTTAAATTCAGTTTTGTAGTAAGAATGCAGTATGGCTGGCCATACTGCATGTTTACTACAAAACTAAATTTTCAAGAGGACCAAGGATCGAGAGGGGGGTCTTCAAAAAATATAAGATAAATATGGGGAGGTCTTGAAAAAGTATACAACTTTTGTGGTTTTTTTGTGTCAAAATGTTGGGTTTCTCCTCCACCCCCCCCCACCTACCATATTTAATGACCGGTCCCTTAGCAATAAAAACATCAGGCAGAAAATAAATTCTAGTAAAAAATATTATTGGCCAGCAAATAATACTCCAAAGAGGCATAATAATTTAATAAAATTTTATTCAAGTAACGTTTCGTTTTAACGTTGCTCAATACAATTTTGATATGCCTTTGTCAAATATTATTTGCTGGGCAAGCTTGAGGGCAATAATATTTTTAACCATAATGTTTTCTATTTCTTCAACTAGTACATGAAGCATTTGGTATTTCAACAGCCATTCTCATTCAACCAGGTATTGCATTTAATTAACTACCTTTGCCTTGTATCCTTGCCTTTGGATTTTTAGTTTGTTAGTTACATGGTGTAGTATATCTGTGATGGCAATGTGTCGGTTTCTTAGTTTTGAGTTTTGGTCCTGCAGTAATTGGTCTCCTAAACTTTTACGTATACACAACCATCATAGTCCTGCATAGCTGCTGTGTGTTTGTTTATTATGTGCAGTATATGTGCTTATTAATTTAACAGTATGTAAAGTAATTCATTAAGCACCATAGCTGTTATACATATTTGCATTTATAGAAAGATATAGCAAAAATTCGATTGGATATGGTGAATGAAATAAGAAACAAAGAAATTAAAGCATGGTAATGATCTGCCAGTTTTGTCACAGTATAATTTATACAGTAGTGTAGTGTACAGTTGATTAGTCGTCACAATGTTGCCATGTTGCCTGCTACCACTCAAGTATTAAAGTTTTCTAAGCATGTTATTCATCATAATCCATTCTATCCTCTCCTGAGATGTTTAGTGTGCAATCATTGAATTCAATACTTTAACTATTTTCATATGTCTTCACATTTAGCGCATTAGAGCGACCATCTGTAACATCACCAGAACAGACTGCGATAGTGTTGCCAGATGATGTAGTTAAATCCTCCCCCTTAAGTGAAACAGGTGACATCCTCTCGATTAAAGAAGAAGTAGATCAAGATGCTAGTAATGACATATTTTACGTTGGTAGAAAGTTCTATACTGTAAATGACTTTAATGAGGCCAAAGCCAAATATGAGGATATTCACTTTTGCGAGCTGTGGAAACGAGATGTCAGAACCCTTGTATCTGCACAGAAGCGAGTCCCCAAACGAGTAGCAAATGCTGAGTTGAGCCTCCAGTACTACTCCCTGAAATTAAGCTGCAAATTTGGAGGAAGAAAAGCAGAGAATAGAGACGACAGAAAGCGTGATACTAAAACCTTTAAACAAGGATGTCAGTTCGAAGTTTATATTGTTTTGTCCACGGACGGAAAAGCGTTAGAAGTTATGAAAATGACCATGGATCACAACCATTCTCTGTCAGAAGAACTGTACAAACATCTACCTCGTCAGCGAAAGCTCACTGGTGCACTGAAAGAGGAAATCCAAGGTGCAGTGCGCCTAAAAGCTAACAACAAACTGCTGCAACAGAAAATACAAACCACGACAGGACAGCGAGTAACATTAAAGGATATTTCAAACTTGAAAACCAAAACCAAGTCGAAAATAAATAGCAATGACCTTGACGTCGTCGTGGATTATCTGAAGACAAAAGAAGGCGCAGTTGTAGAAGTAGCAACGGACGAAGACAGCAATTTTAAGTCTCTTTTCTTTCAAGACCAGTACATGAAACATGCGTACGACAGGTTTCCTGAGCTCCTGCTTGTGGATGCTACTTACAAACTTCTTGATTTGAGAATGCCACTCTATGTGCTGATGGTAGTGGATGGAAATGGCCTTAGTGATATTGTCGCCCTTCTAATCGTTGCTGAAGAGAGTGAAACTGTCATAACAGCAGCCATGGAAGCATTTAAAAGGCACAATCCAGCTTGGATAAGGACTACAGTAATCATGTCCGACAAGGATTTCACAGAACGTCAAGCCTTCGCCAAATGCTTTCCCAGCGCATCCCTACTTATATGCCTTTATCATACACTTCGAACTTTCAGAAGGGAGATAACAGTTGAGAAAATGGGGATAACGTCAGGTGAACGGGACAGAGTTCTTGAGATATTAACCGCAATAATTTATTCCAAAACAGAAGAAGCCTATGAAGAAAACGTAAATCTGTTAAAGGAAACCAAATCAAAAGCTGTAAGAAACTATTTCTTTGACAATTGGCACCCTATAAAAGAGCAATGGGTTTCTTGTTTTAAGGATTCAACTTTTAACCTTGGTGAAACAACCAACCAATCGTTTAGAGAGTGCTAATGCGAAGATTAAAAGTGTTTGCTCTCGCTATGCAACACTTTTACAATTTTTACAGAAATGTTTGCACTCCTTGGAACATTGCGGAATGAAAGGACACACCAGAAAATTATGGCAACATTACGCAAGCCCATATCAATTGAATCGTGTGAGGAGGACATCCGCACATATGCTGAAGTTCTAACACCATACGCTTTCAAACACCTTAAGCGTCAAGTTGAACTTGCCAAACGTTTAACCGTACAACAGGTTTTGTCCGAGAACAAAGTTTTAATAAAGAGTTGTACCTATGGTGAAGTAACAGTGTCAGGTAACACTTGCCAATGCACGTATCCTGTGAAAATGGGACTTCCATGTAGACACATCCTTAAAGCCAGAACTGCGCTTAAGTTATCTCGATTTGATCCTTCCCTCCTCTCTGCCAGATGGACCGTTGAATACTAATAAAGCTTCTGAGGCAGCCAATGTGCCAACCACATGCGGCATCAGCAACGTCGATGTCCTTCATGAAAGTAAAGAGAAATCTACCACTTTGACGCAAGCCCAGAAATTCCACAAGGCAATGAATGTGGCACGAACCCTGGCTTCACTGGCAAGTGAAGGCGGAATGAAGACATTTGACAGTAGAATGGCTGATCTGCAACAAATTCTCAACCTTTGGCAAGCACAAGACAGTCTTGGAAGATGCAGCAACACTGAAGACACAACAAATATTGATGAAGAAAAGCCCACCAAAACCCAAAACGAACATTTTCGTAACAAAGATCATGACATACCCTATGATAAAAGAGATTTTGGTCCCATTCCCCGTGATCAAAAGAAGGCCAGTAGAAAAACAAATCAAATGTTCCAGGTGACGTTGCCAAAACTTCTCCACCATCCTCGCTGATAAGTCTAAGACTGCTGGTACATCTTCACAAGTAAAGAGCAAAGAAAATGATTGCAAGCAGAAAGAGCTTAAAAACATAAAAATGCCACCGAAAATGCTCAAGAGAGGAAGGCCCAAAGGAGCGGAATTAACTGTCATTGGGCTACCCAAAGTAAAGAAAGCAAAGAAAGGGTTGCTGCCATTTTGCAAGGTGAAAGCAGTAGAAAAGGACAGGATTCTTTTAGAGTGCTTTGTCCGTTGTTCAGTTGCTAACAACGCAATCCAAAGTGGTGATTTAATACCACCAGAAGAAGTCGAAACAAATCCTCTTAAGCTTCCAGACATGATTCGTGACAAAGAGAATGTCGATTTGAATAGGATTGAGAAATATTTTGTTGCCAATGCATGGAAAGTTGTTCTTAATGTCAGTGAAAAAAAGAACAAGACAAAGTGGATATGTCCTGGATGTTCAACCACAATCAGCAGCAAAGATGAAAGTGTAGCATGTGAAAGGTGCCTGTGTTGGTATCATATTAAATGTACTTACTGAAAAGACCACCCAAGACAAGAATTGGTTTTGCAGCAAATGCAAAGCTAAGCACGTATAAAACTGGTCACTAATTACTAGACTTTGGTATATAAGACAATGAACACTTATACTTAATAATAATATTTTGATAACTAAAATCATATTTACACATTTTGATGTAAAGATGGATTTCTCGTGACGTAATTTGTTTAGATTGCACTGGAGGCAGAAGAGAAATCAATAAATCATTTTCACTAACATAGATTTAACAACATCAAGCGACCAATCATTAATTTTTGTAGTTTAATAATAAGTACTTCCGCCTCCAACACAAACATTGCAACCCGTCTATACAGTCTATATACATACTTTAATATTAACCAAACCTGGCACTACATAATTTTTGGTTCCAGCAACGATATTGACTAGAAGCCTTACAAAAATATATTTCTTCATACTTGCACACCAACTGAAATCCCGAAATTACGCCATCGCAAACGAAGAATACTGCCGGCCGTTTAGTATTTCAAGCTGACTTCAAGCAACAATATGGCCGGCTGCCGGTTATTTAGGCTTGACAAGTAAAAACTATACAGCCGGCTGCCGGCTGTCTAGCCACTTCGATAAAATTAATAATAATAAACAGCACACTATAGGCCGACTAACACACCACAACACTATAAACACTATAGGCCGACTAACACACCACAAATCCACAATGTAGAGTCACTATGTACACTGCGTTACTAAGCGTATATATCATACGTAGGATGGCAAGGCGAGGTAGATTTAAGTCCCGAGGAATGTCGTGAGTATTTGTTAATCACATCGCCATCAAATTGATACAACACAACAGCTTTGTTGAAAACATTGTCATTGTCATTAATGACATTATGTCTTAGAAGAATAATTCCGCACACATCTGTAGTTTCAAATAGTACTACTGACATACTTCCCGCGTCTTGAGATGCAGACGTTGTAAATAATGCGTTAAATTCTGAGATTTGCAGCTGTCGACGCCTAGAACTATCAGATCCTAAAATATTTATTTCGATTCCTTGTGTATTCGCGGATTCTATTACGACATTTTGGCCTGTCAGTGCGAAAGGTAGACTATATATCGTAGTGTATTTGTTTGTTTGCCAGTCATTAATTCTATTTTGTAACCATGCACGGCTGGCACGGTAGCAGACGACTTTAAAAAATACAAAGTAAAACTATATTTGAAAATACAGAATATTGGCTATACAGAACACAAAAACTGCACTTTGTCTTTGGTATACGGGTGAAATGATGGTTCTCGGTTATAACTGTATGTAATCTGCCGCCATACAAAGTATTCAGCCGAATGTAACTGAATCCTATAACATAGCTACATGCAAAAGACCATTTTAACGCCCCACCCCCCTCCCCCAAGGAAACGAAGATTGAATTTATTTATTCAACTTTGCCAACATTTGCCAGCTTTCGCCAATTACAGCGGTCCCATTTATTATATGAATTGTAGTCCCAAGGCCTATTTGCATGTGTGTTGTATCTCTGTGGCACTATGAGAATTCTGCCTGCATTTTTACAAATGTAGACACCTTGTTAGGAAGAATGATTTGTGGGGGAAGGGATTTGCACAAGCAAACATTTGCCTTTTGGGCATTTATGATTCGGCCGAAATTTGACGTCATGATTTGACAATTTAGGTGATTGTAGCTGATAGAAAGGAGCTACATAGGTCGTCACGCTATGTAATCGCGGGCACATCATTCTACCTTGAATGCAGCTACTTCCATTTCTGCAGAAATATATGGAAAATGGCAATGCTGTTTGAGGAAGGTAGGTAAAAATTAAATTGTGTCCAGTATCCAGTTGGCAAATACTGCTAAACAGTATTTAACATGGTCCTTAATTTAAAGACCTTATATAGTATCAGTACTGATCCAATTAATAATTTTGAGATTTGGTCCTGGCCTGAATTGTATTGCTATTATTTTCCCCAATTTATTTATTGATTTACCTATAGTTATACAATAACAGCTGTGAATACATCGATATTACTGTACGACGTTTTTTTCAACAGATCTCTTTGAACAGACAGGACAGTATGAACCACTCACAACTCGTCTACGTAATATACTCCGTGAGTACAAAGACGGCGTCGGTATTTTTAAAGAATTGATTCAAAATGCAGACGATGCTGGAGCTACTAAAGTCAAGTTTTTGGTGGACTGGAGAAAAGGAAGAACGAGGAGTCTTTTCTCCCCTGGCATGGCTGAATGCCAAGGACCGGCATTGTGGGCTTACAACGACGCTGTTTTCACTGACGATGATTTTGAAAACATCAACAAGCTTGCAGGAGAAACGAAAGTCGAGGATATTTCAAAGATTGGTAGGTTTGGTCTTGGTTTCAACGCCGTCTATCACCTCACAGACGTTCCAAGTTTCATCAGCCGAGAACACTTGGTGGTATTTGATCCGAACACTCACCATTTAGAAGAACGTCACATTAAGGACAGATCCCGTCCTGGAATCCACATCAATCTTTCCGAGAAACCAGAGTCCCTAACACGTTACCAGGATCAGTTTCAGCCATACAATGGCGTCTTTGGTTGCAACACAACGGAAACACGTCATGAATTCTACTACGACGGAACATTATTCCGTTTCCCTTTCCGCACGGCCGCCCAAGCAAGAACCAGTGATATCATCAAATCCCCATATGGTCGAGACAAGATTCAAGCTATTGTTCGTAGCATTTGTGAATGCGCCTCGAATCTTTTAATCTTCTCCCAACATGTAAAAGAGGTAGAAATCTTTAAATTGGATGGATTAGACGAACCAGACGAAATGCGATTGGTGCTCTCTGTGAAGAAACCAAGTGTTAAGGTTGTCAGTCAGGAAGGCGTGAAAAGCAAAAAACCGTTTATCAAACAGTGTTCCAAATGGTGGAAAAAATACCGTGAATCTCAAAAGTCCTGTAGTGAATTCCCATCAAGTTGTGAACTTGTTAACATTGTTACTACAAAGGAGCAATCGGAATTAAGCCGATGTGAACGTCGATACAGAAGTGATCAAACTTGGCTTGTAGTTTCAACAAGTGGGACTAAGGATTGCCTCAAAATTGCTCGCTCACAAGAAGGGAAAGCTCGTGGTTTCTTGCCCTGTGGTGGGGCAGCGTTCGTCGTTTCTTCTAATCAGAATTCCAACCCAGATCTTTCTGGGGAACTGTTCTGTTTTCTTCCATTGTCTATTACGACTGGGCTTCCTGTGCATGTCAACGGCTTTTTTGCCATCATGTCTAATCGCGTTGAAATTTGGAAACGATCGACTACAGGAAACCAACCCGTCGAGGTGAAGTGGAACGAAGCACTGATGGAGGATGCATTAGCCAGAGCTTATATCATGCTTCTTGAAAACATGAAAGATTGGATCGGTAAGATTAAGGATTACGAATTTTACAGTCTGTGGCCAAGCAGTGACACCGTTGATATGAAATCTTGGGAGAAGCTAGTTCAGAAAATCTGCAGTGTATTGTTGGATCCAAAAACGAAGTTATTTTACAGCGATGGACACTGGATGAGTATAAACGACGGTCTCATATTGAGCGATGATTTTACGGGAATCTACAAGAAAGCAGTGAAAGTATTAACATCACTAGGGATACATGTTATATACCTACCTCCTAAGATATTCAAGACTCTAGCGAAATTCGACCAAGGTGGCATCCTACAACGACGTACTTTGTCGTTCACCCAGTTTATGAAGTCTTACTTTTTTGTAAACATCAGAACGCTATCTCGTTCCCGAAGAGATGCTATCGTTTGCTTCGGTTTGGATCGAATTATGAAAGAAGATGAACCACTTTCCAGCCACTGTCTCCACGAAATTGACCTTTTCAAAGCAAATACCTGTATTTCTGTATCAGAAAAAGAAGAAACCCTATCGAGGCCTACTCAACTTATCCACCCGTTCAGTGCTGCGGCGGGGTTGTTTTCCGAGCAAGATCACCGTTTTCCTGTTGGACATGGCCTGCGTACTGAAAACAGATTGTATGTTTTAGAAACACTTGGTATGGTGAAGGATCTTGATTGGGCCGGAATCCACGAAAGAGCTCAGTCGGTTGCCAAAACTAGAGATCTCGAACGGTGTCGAAAGTTAATAATCTACATTAACAAGCGAATAGATGAACTACCGTTAAATCTACATCGAAGTTTTCTTCAACATGTGAAGTTTTTGCCAGTGTCGAACAAACCAGTTGAAACATATCTTCTACCTTGGAGAGGATCAATGACTTTGCCTTCACTACAGCTTTTTTCGTCAAGCGAAATTTTCCTACCGAAGGATGCCAAGCTTATCGGATCGTCCTGTCTTATTGTAAACACATCTAAGAAAAGCGGTTGTGGGAAGCTGAGTGAACAAGTGAAAAAGCTCCTGGGATTTTCAAGCCGTCGTCCCGAAGATAAGTTTGTTATTCAACAGTTAGACGAAGCAATTAAATTTTGGAGCCGGTTAACTGAAAATGGGAAAAAAGAGCCGGGAGTAAGGCTCGCAATTGAGTCAATCTGTCAGAAAATATACGAATTCTTTAATCATAAGATCGTAGAAAGTTCTCTGAGCGAGCTAAGTAAACGAAATTGCTTGTTTCTTCAAGGCAAGTTTGTGCGAAGCAATAAAGTAGCTTATACGTCCAAAGGAGATGGAGCTCCATTTCTATTCACCTTACCATCCGACTACAAAAGAGACTATCGCATTCTTTTTGAAAGGATGGAAATCAAAAACACATTTGATGATGAAGATTACATCAGCGCCCTTTACGAACTAGAAAAAACAAAACGTGGAAGTGCTCTGAGTGGCGATGAATTACAAACTGCAATATTTTTCATCAGTCAAATAGATGTACAAAATCCCGCCGTGAAGGATTACATTGGTGAGATTCCACTTCCGGACACTGATAGCATTCTCCGACGAAGCAAAGATATCGTGGTCAACCTGTGTTTATGGCTTGAAGATCCGGAAGATAATATAAAGGTCCACGAGAAAGTACCACCGCAAACAGCCTATGCTCTGGGCGCAAAATCTTTGAAGAATCGTATACTGGATGATTACGCACTACCCATTCGCTATGGTGAGTCGTTTGAACAACATGAAGAGCTAACCGACCGACTAAGCGGAATTCTTGATGGATATCCTGCTGACGGAATTTTGAAGGAACTTTTGCAAAATGCTGACGATGCTAAAGCCTCGGAGATACACTTTATACACGACACTCGATCTCTTGAACGTGAAAGAGTGGTGACAAAGTTAGAAACGTCGGCGGAAATACAAGGTCCAGCACTTTGTGTGTACAATGACAGACCATTTAAGGAGAAAGATCTCGATGGGATTAGAAATCTTGGTAAAGGAAGCAAGCGAAATACTCCAGAAATGACGGGGAAATATGGAATTGGGTTCAATTGTGTTTACCACCTTACCGACTGTCCCAGCTTTTTATCCAACGACGACACCCTTGTGTTTCTCGATCCTCATTCCCGATATTTTGATCATGATCGTGGAAAGATATTCCAGTCGATGGATGCCAGATTTCGAGATATATACTCGAGTACACTCGACGGATATCTTGCTGACCATTTCAAATTAGAAGGTTGCACAATGTTTCGTTTCCCATTGAGAAGAAAACGAAATGAATCCGAGATTTCTGCTGAGTCGCCGGACATGGAAAAACTTTTCCAGACCTTCCAAAAGGAAGCCCAAAAGTCGTTGTTGTTTTTAAATCATGTTAAGAAGATAACATTTTCGAAAATTCATAACAACAAGCTCAAAAAAATTTATCGGACTGAGTCCAATATTGCTCCAGAAGATGAATTAAAGCGAAGAGAGCTAGCACGAAAAATTGTGGATCTTCACGACTGTTCAACAGCAGAAATTGGATGGAAAGAAATTAGTTACACAATGACGATTAAGGAAAACAAGAAGAAAGTCGGGAAATGGTTGATACAGAAGTGTATTGGATCAGATACTCAAGCCTCTGAAATTTATGATCGAGAACACGGGAAAGTCCCAAATGGTCTGACGCTCGGTCTACTTCCACGCGGTGGCTTGGCAGCCCCTATATGGACTCTTTCATCGTCTTCTGATAAGGGTGAATCATCTTCCGACGAAGTAGAAACATCTTCTGAATCAGAACTGTCATTCATCGACGTAGACGAATCATCTTTCGACAAGGAAGAATCGTCGTCCAACGAAGAAAGATCATCTTCGGACAAGGAAGATTTATACTGGGACAATGAAGAATCAGCATCTGACGAAGAGAAGGAAGAAATGTCCGAATCGGAGGAATCATTCTATGACATATCCGAATCGTCTTTGAACAAGGAAGAATCATCTTCGGACAGAGAATTGGAAACATTCTCCGACCAGGAAGAATTCTCCTCCACGAGGGAAGAAGCAATGCGTGGCATAGTGTATTGCTTCTTGCCTCTCCCAGAGAACTACACTGGCCTACCAATTCATATCAATGGTCATTTCGCTTTGGATAGCACAAGACGTGGTCTTTGGACCGAAACTGATGGGAAAGGAGGAAAATGTGAATGGAATGACTTCATGAAAAGCTGTGTGTTAGCTCCTGCTTACGCAGCTTTGATCTTAGAAGCTCGTAATCATCTGTGTGATGATAAGAATGACAGCCAACTATCACGTTACCATAATTTGTTCCCGAGGGTTTCGAGCGATTCTCCGTGGGAAGTCCTTACTACTGGATTGTATCGTTATCTTGGACACACAAGTGCAAAAGTGTTGCCATTGCTTGTTCCAACTGAGTCGGGAAATGATGCAAGTTGTGTCTTCGGCCATGAGATATCGGTAAACGGTGATACCGAAGAACCCAATCCTCAAAGTTTTGCATGTAAAAGTTGGCTCTCAGTTGACGAAGGATATTTCAAGGAGTCTACTGAATTGAAGAATGACTTTTTGCATCTGTTATTAAGAATTGGACTGCCCGTGTTGCTGCGCGCTCCAAACCGAATATACCGCAGTCTTGCATCTGCTGGGATAAGTTCGAATCGGATCAGACCTGCAAGCGTAATTAGTTTCCTAAGAGAATTTAAATCACAAAGATCCACTTGTGTGATTGGAAATCTTCCGAAAAAATTAGAAACCACCCCAGTTAACAGTATCGCTGAATTGTCTGAGTTGGTAGAGTATTGCCGGGAAGATGACAATTTTGACCAAAGACTATCAGGCTTGCCTCTTCTTCTAACACAAGATGGCTACCTTCGAGTTTTTCGACCAAACCAGCCTGTATTTCTTTCAGAATTTGGGGACCTTTTTCCAACTCAGGCGCACTTATTTGTTCATGCTGAAATTGTCTGTCAATTCCCGCGAAGCACTACCAAAGCAGAAGAGAATGTTATCCGAAATTTTACAGTTGAAAACTTGGCTGGACTACTTCCGGGTGTGTTCACAAACAATGTCTTAAAAGCTGTTGAAGATGATGGAACACAGGCACTCTTAGCTGGAAGAATACCATTAAAAAAGTGGCTTAAACGGTTTTGGGACTTCTTGCAAAACTACGCCAGGCCTCAGCCCGGTGAGGATTCGGTCAGATTAGATTGCCTATCGAAATGGCCGGTGGTTCCGACGACTTGTGGAAAGCTTGTGACGCTTCAAGACGCAAAATATATTTTGGATATGCCCGTTCTAAGGAATGACGAATCTGCTGAAAAAGAGAAAGTTCGCACGTTCTTGACTGAGCTGGAATGTCCAGTACTAAACAAAAAGATTACCCTTCGGAAAAAAGTTTTCAGGAATACAGAAAACATTGGTGCCATAACTGATTCTTATGTTGCTCACCCTCATAACGCGGAGGATGTCTTGGTTGTGCTTTGCCACATGTTGAAGTCAAACGAACTCGACATTTCAAAAGTTTACGAAGACGATATTCGTAGCTTTCTTCGGTTTGTGCAAGATAACTACAAAAGGTCAGGGAATTTGGAAAAATGCAGGGAAATGGTAAAGGATTTGCCGTTTCATAAAGCTTTGGATGGAAATTTTGTACGCTTGCTTGGTCACTTCTCCACTTATGTCCTCGTTCCTCCTGGTGTCCCAACACAACAGCTAGGTGCACTTCAAAATCGAACTGAATGTCTTTTCCTGAGCTCAGACGCATTATCCACACTCAAGGAACTTTACACAGATCTTCGCGTTAGAGGCGGTCACAATGTCACACAATTTTACGTGGAGTTTGTCTTTCAATATTTCAAAATTTTCACCAGAGAAAGTCAAATAAAACATTTAGAATACATCAATGAGGAAGTATTTCCGTCATTGCCACAAGGTAAATCATCTTACAAGACCATATTCTTGAAGACTATGAAAGAAACTCCTTGTATTCCTGACGAGAATGGGCACCTCTATTTTGCATCTGACCTCTTCTGCCAACACAACGACGTGTTTAAAGCAATGTTTGCAGACGATCTCAAGAAATTTCCTCCGCCGCCATTCAATGATGCAACTTGGTCACAACTACTTCGCGAGATCGGATTGCAAGTTGAGGTTACACCTCAGTTATTTCTCCAATTTTGTAGAACGGTGGCCATGAATGGACGTTCTTTTAGTAACCGACAAAGCCGCTTTCAATCCGAAAAACTTGTGAAGTGTCTATTTTCAAGAAAAGCCTTGCAAAAAGAAAAATTCCTTTCCAAGGTATCGCAAATCAAGTTTATTACCTCAGCCAAAGTGGCAGATGAACTAGCCTTAATTCACGAGCAGTACCAGTGTCCACAAAACAGCTATCCACCTTTCATCGCGTTCCGTGATGCTGTTCCGTGGGATCGCAGACTCATATCATGGACTACTGTTCCACTTCTTCCAGACTGGGCGCAACCAATCGATGTCACAAAGTTTAACAACCTTGGTATTGCTTATTCTGGACCAGAATATATCAAAGTACTCGATCATCTGCAAAACATAGTCAACTCACCTTGCCTCGAATCAGTTGATGGTGAACGTTTAAAGGAAATCACGAAACTGATTTACCAGTTCCTGTCTGGTACCATGCAATACTGCGGTCGTAACCCAGATGACAGATGCGCTGAAGTTTGTTTAGATATTGGTCGTCGCCTGAAAGGTAGTTCATGCATATTTTTGCAGGAAGGTAAAACGTTCGTGAAAGCAGAACAGCTGGTGTTCAGGATTTCTGAATCATACCCTTTGCAGCCATTTCTTTACCCCGTACCAATTGAATTTGGAGAATTACAGCACTTTCTTAAACGGCTCGGTGCAACTGTGAAACCAACACCGCTGCAGGTTGCACACGTTTTGACATCCATTCGCGAACAGATCGGAGAAGGAACGCTCTCTTCTGACCTGGACAACAAAGTGCGGTTTGCGATGCGTCTTATTTTTAATTTACTAGAAAAAGGCGGAAATGTTGATGGCATCGATGTCTTGTATTTGCCAAATGAAAGTCAACAACTTTTAAAGTCCTCTGAAATGATTTACGAAGTTTCGCCACGTTACACGGATATCAGAAATAGCCTTCAATCTCAGATTCTGTTGCGATTCACAGAGTGTGCCCTTAAAAAGCCCCCTGATTGCTATATTAATGCACTTCCACAGCATTTGATTCCCACGAAGTTCTCTGATATAATCCAGGAAAGAATCGCCCTAGAGAGCAAGCTTTCCATATGTCCTGAAGCTCGAGGTGGTGTCATATGCAAATTTCAAGAACAATTTCAGAATCTGATTCGATCTGATGAATTTCAGGATGGGCTTAAGCGCTTACTAGTCCACGATCAACAAAAGCCACAGGAATTTGAGCAAAGAATAAAAAAACTTCAAACGGAAGTCGAGATAAAGTGTGCAGGATTCGATTGCATAAAAGTTCATGTGATTCTTCGTGATGCAGATGATGTCTTTATGAATTTAGAGGAGAGTTGTTATGCCGTTCAGGAAAAAGGGAAATGGGCATTGTACATGCAACACAAATTGAAAGGTGACGGAGGACTGACTTTTACTGCCACTTGTGTTAACCAGATTCTTGGAGATTGCATTCAAAAGGAAAAGGGATTAATTGCAATGCTCCACTGCTCATTGCCAAGCGAAATATCAAAAGCTTTGGATAAACTTGGTATTACTTGCAGTACATCCAAAAGCGCTGATGACATCCCAGACTCGGACGATGAAATGTTATTGGACTCTGGGAGTGATGATGATGGTCATGGGAGCAAAAGTCATGTAGAAGCGAATGGTGAACGTCTGAGGACTGGCAGGGGTAAAAAGCGTAGTGCTAAGTCTCATGGGGGATATAGTATTGGTCCCAGTTCACGTGGTGGTCGTCGAGGTCGTACGGGTGAAGATTCCAGGTAAAGTAAACAAGTACAAAACTTCCTCATATTCCTCCGTAGGAAATGTTATTTTACATACCAAACACCAGGATATACGTAGAGGAGTACGTTAGACAGAATTGATCGTTTTATGTTGTTAAGTTTCGTAATGTTGCCATCGCTAGTCTATTTTTGTTTAATTGGATATATGAGCACGTACTCTAACATATGTCGAAATAAAGTTTAGCTGTATTTAACAGCTTTGATGTTACTGACAAGAATACGTCAGTCAAGTAGTTTAGCTGTAGAAATAGCTTAGATCGATGTAACAGACACGAATACTATAATGATTATATTTTGACGACTAGATTTAAAATTATGTCTAAAATAGTTGGGGGCGTCCAGAATAACATCAAACGAATTTTTCAGGACCGAAGACCACACTGAAGATGAGAAATTTTTTGAAAAAGAACCTGGTGAGGCTAAGCGATGGCTGCGTCAATCAGAGAGTGACTTGGGCGGTGCGAGGTGGCTCCTCCGATGTGGTACTCCTTATAATGCCATTGCTTGTTTCCAGAGCCATCAAGTGGTGGAGAAATGCTTGAAAGCCTTGCTATTTCACCACTGTGGCATCTCTGGAAAATTGCTACGCTCTCACGATGTGGAGGATTTAGCAATCAAATTCACCGAAGAAACAGGTCTAATGGATGAGACTGCCATGGAATCGGTGGAACGATTTTCCAACTATTACTTGAATACTCGTTATCCTAATCGTCACCCGTTTGACGTCGCCCCGTGTGAGGCTTTCAGCGACGATGAAGCAGAGACGGCCGTGGAAGAAGCATCCAAACTGTTTGACTTTGCTGACAATGAATTGAATAACAACGAGAATGGTTAGCGCAGATTGTAATTTTGTGCATATCTAATTTTTTAGCGAGGTGAAGATAAGGCGTTTAGCGAGGCGTTTTGCTTGTCTGTGTGTCCAATTCTATGCAGGTTGTTTTAAGTACCAATTTTAGTATTAATCAATACTACAATATAATAATAGTACAGGGGCAGGGAACCGATATAATCTTTAAGTGGGATTGGCACCGGTTGCCGTTAAAATGCTTGCTACAAATTGGTACAAGACAAATTTATTGAAACAAGAAACTTGTTGTCCTCCCTCCCCCCTGTGCCAATTCTGTTGTGGTAACGTGTGTTACTAGTAATTCAGTAGCTCAATATTATGTATTATATAACACCTTATTAAGATAATGTCTTTCAATTATATTATTATTATTTCACAAGTTGATCTTTTTTCTCCTCGTTTAATGGAACATTCCATCTTTCCTCATGAAAATATTCTTAGAATTGGTACGAGACTGATTCGCATGCGCATTTATTTGAAGTATCCCACTACCGTTTTCCGCTGATCGCATGGTAGATTGGTAGTGCATACTCAATTATAAAATTGCTCAATTCTCCTAATATTTACCCAAAATATCGCTTCAAAAAACGACTTTTATGACAAGAAAAAGACTACTTTATATCATTATGGTGGATACGGAAGGTAAATAGATACTAAACTACGTAAATACACGGTAAAACTGCCCATTATCGCAAGAAAAAGCTGCTTTGATAGCAATTCAAATATGTCCATATGTGGGAAATTTTGCAAGCGAGATGGGGTCAACCGGCTAGCGAGAATAGTATCTTTGACACTTAGCAGAAGTTTGAGTTCGAATTTAAGGTTTAATACTGGGCAACAAAACTATTACACGATTTTAAAAGTGACTCCAAATGCCACACAAGATGAAATAAAACAGGCATATTACAGGCTGTCAAAGCTCTATCACCCAGACACAAACCAATCTGAAAAGGCACATGATTATTTTACTGCGATAAACGAAGCATATAACGTACTGGGAAATGTGCCAGACAGAAGGAAATACGACCGAGGGTTATCGATAACACACAACCCAAAGGCGCAGCAAACCAATAGACAACAGCAAGCGCAACATTTTCATGGGAAAAGGATTGTTTATGATTTTGATGACTGGATGATAAAGTACAATCAGGAAGCAATGAAAAGGAGGAAAAGGAATTTTGCCATGAAAGAGAAATTTGAAAAACGGCATGTCACAAAAGAGATGGATATATTTAATCGTAATGTTATAGTTGCTGCTGTTTTGACACTAATTGGGTTGGTTGTGCTCATGAATGGCAAAAAGTAAAATTACAAGGATATCTGTTTTCTAAATTTTATATAACCCATACATGTAGTCTGTTTATAAGATTTTGTCTGGATAAACAAAAGGAAGTGTATAAAGTATATACAAGTGTTCAACAAGAACCCTTTTCTTTTGATTGGTGTGGGGGGGGGTATTTTGTCACCTTCCCCCTCTCCATATATTTTGTACCTGAGAACCCCCCCCCTCCCCAGATAATAATCTTGCCAACCTATTAACCTCATGCTAGCAAAGTAAACCAACTTTATATTGTAGAATAAACAAGTTTATTTTGCAATTGATATGAAATTATATTTATTATGAAATTGTATCAATATAAATGGTCACAGCTGCCTCAAGTGCAAACTTATTCCTTATTAAAAATAAAATGTAGAACCACACCTTAGTAAGAGCAAACTGATTAGTACCCTTGGCTGTATCCAAGGCACATAAGCATAAATATTGTCAGACTGCAACAGTTTTCAACAGTTGATACTCAGTCCAGATTAAAGATTCATGTGTTAATCAGTGAAATCAATCACCAATCCAATGACTACACAATAGAATTGCATGTGCAAACCTCTAAATTATCCATCCTGTACAAACCCCAGGACTGCCCGCTTACTGTGTCTAGCTAAATCTCTTGTCCATAGACATTCCATTTATGACTTTGGGTGCGAGATTGTATACAGCAAGTGACCTATACCTACACTACACTCATTTCTTTTCGGTGTTTTTACACTGCATGGTGACTGAGGCTCGATATTTTCGGGCACGTACCACAAACCTTGACATCCAATGTTTCAGCTAAAACTTGGAAAAGCTATTCTAGCTGCAAGCAATCCGGCATTTTCATCTCAAATTACCATCCCTCGCCGGTTTCGACTTTCGACATGAAATCCTAGGCGATGCGTTTCGTTTTATTGCTACTTAAATGAATTTACAACAGTTTTTTACTGATAAAACGTATACTCAATATAAACTCTTAGCCAATTTCAGGCTTAAAAACGAGAACTAACCTTGCAGTTTCATAAACTATACTTTGTTTACATATGAGGTCATGATTGATTTGTTATTAGGCGCCATCTTGGATTCTTGGTTTATTCAACTAAGCTTATTTCTGCTTTACAAGGGAACAAAAGTAAGTAATTTTACTTCTGACAGTCTTGTTTATTTTCTAACTGCTCATCATCGCTATCGTTTAGTTTGTGACCATTAAATTACAGTAAGGATAACCGTATGATTATTGATTCGTGCATTTTTTTAAAATCAACAAAAAAGGCGGGAATATTTTTTGCGAACAAACTATTGCTCTTATTGAGCATTTAATGTTTTGAAATGATTTCAAACTGCCGTGAATTTCGTAATAAGAAAATATTTGCCTATCAAACGAGTGTTTGAGTCTTGGAAGTCCTCTCGTCGGAGTCGTTTGTGTCAAGAAGTCTTTTTTTCGTGTTCCAGCTACTTCTATTTTTATGTGAGGAACTGTTAACGGGCGAGTTTTCACGCAGCATCGCGCTAACACGCTCAGCGTTTCGTTTTCTCATCCTCTCCTTTCCCAACAGCGATTCGTAGAACGCGTTCCTGAGCAAGCGATTGAGCCAGTAATAGATCAGCGGATTCACGCACGAATTTAGGAACGTCATGAGTTTCACGACCGCGTTGAATATCGGTTTGATGTTCTTGAATGATGGCTGGAAGCAATGCGGGCAGACCATTCGGAGAAAATAGTAAAAGGTTGAAGGGCCCCAACAAATCACGAAGGCCCCGACCACCAGTCCCAAAGTACGTGTTATATCGCGTTCCCTTTTTTGGGTGTTTTTATCCTTCATCTCGACCGCCGGCTGCCATTCGTATTGCGAGCTCGTGGGGTTGTTCCCTTTCTCTAAGAGTTCTGACTTTCTATTCCGAGAAAATCTCAACGCGTAACTTACTGTATACACGTGACAGAATAACATTACGAGAAAGGGCGCGAACACGTTTGTCGTAATCACCATTAAGCTCCACTCTCGGGTCGGGTCGTAAACGCACGGTTCGTCTTCGGTGCCTTTTTGCCAAAAGAAAGGTAGGGCCGCTACAACTGCGGCGTCGAGCCATGATATCGTTAGGAAAGCAATCATCTTCTTCTTCGATAACCACATCCTAGAAATTTATAAAATAATTCTTGGTTTGCATATGACGTCATAATCAATCATTCGGCGCCATCTTGGTTGGCTCTACAAAGTTTACTTTTGTTTTTCAAGAGAACAAATTAACGTTACCCCCTTTCCATAAACAGCCATAAATCCGAGTGTGATATTGACCTTACCTGTGTGTAACAGGTTTGCTGACTGCAATGAAACGCTCGAGGCTGATCGCCATCAGACTCAACACCGAAGCGTACTCCGTGAAGAAATATGTAAAACGGAATACATCGCAGGTGAAACCTTCCCACCATCCACCGCGCACGTGCTTTTTCGCGATATACGCGGGCATGGCCAACGCCCCGCACAGCAGGTCGGCGACGGCCAATGATATGATAGGATAGTAGACGACTCTGCGTAGGCCCATTTGCTTGTAGAAAACAAAACATACAAGACTGTTCCCGATCACGGATACGAATATGAACACACTCAGCACGATCGTAACGCTTAAATGAAGTGCATCTTCGTCGATTGTCGTACGACGGTCGGAACGGAACGCAGTGGATGTTATTGTGGTTGTTGTTGAAGTGTTAAATAGGTTTTCCATTATTTCTTTGTATGGCCTAGAAAAGGACATGAGTTTATGTTATTCGAATTTTTGGTAATTTTTTATCTTCAGACGTCTCTCACATTGTTATCTTTAATTATTTCAGTCATTGCCTGGTCCTTTGCTAGAAACCCTCTGAGCTTTTCGGCATATTTTGATGTGGGCGCAAGTTAATTGACAGAGGCGGGGCATTTACTAATGTTCTGCGTTTCCATCCAATCAAGAAAACTATTTATCATAATATTTTCAAAATAGTATCGAAAAAAAATCAATGTTCTACGTTTTCATCCAATCAACGAAAACATTTATCATAATATTTTCAAAATAGTATCGCTGTATCGGGGGAAATATGCATTTGTCGAAGTACAAGAAGCAATTTTTCTTCGGAAATTAATTTTTAATCAGTCTATGATCACTACTGCCTTCGGCAACTACTGAATTAGAACGTTGTTCTGGAAATATTTTTACCGATTGCAAAACTTCCGGAAGAAAATTTAAAATGCAACTCCGAAGTGAAACATAACTTACAGAAAACCATATTGCACAGGAATTACATCTTGCAATCAAAGAATTAATTCATGCACGCTCTGACCTTCCAGCCGTAAAACAACTTGGCATGCGGTTAGGCCGCCATTGTCTGTGTCAAAATTTAGAGGCTTAGGAATAATTGGACCTCTTTCAGTATTACTCCGTTTCCTGACAGACAGGAATATATATACAACATAAAAACTAGAATAATTGAAAAGGAATTTATAATATAACATTTATAGTACGCGCGTGCTGATTGGTCGAGAAGCGTGTTTCTATAACTGTATAGAAACACGGGAATTTTCCCGCCGAACTGGTCAAGCGAAGTAATGTAGTGAGAATTTGTAATTGAATCGAATTATAATATTTGTACAAAATCTTTTTATTGAGTTATATTATAAAAGAAATAGAAAACATTTTTTCCTGTGTTTCTATACAGTTATAGAAACACTTGTGGGAGTTTGGGAGAACTCGAAATAACGTGGAAAAACTCGCCCTACGGGCTCGTTTTCCCACTGATTATTTCTCGTTCTCCCAAACTCCCACGCGTGTTTCTATAACTGTATAGAAACACGGAAAATGTTTTCTATTTCTTAAATAGTGAATGTTTAGGAATAATTTATGAGAATCATTCTAAATGGCATTTAGTACCTAATACGCTTAACTCAAATGTCAGGTCGCGTAGTAAATTTTATCGGTTGCTGAAGACACTAAGTCTAATGATCGATTCCCCGAAGAACCTGTACGA